TAATGCCGGAACGTTAAACGTTGTTTAAAAACATGAGACTATTCCGATCATAAGCCTAAGTCAGAGACGATTATAGTGAAATAAAATCTAGATAATGTAGCATTCTGTTTAATGTATTATTGAATATATTTTATCATACTTGTCATTTCTCCCTTAATTAATTTGTTCGGCTAGAGCTGTCAAAGTGACTTTGTATATAAGTAGATTTCATTGCACGTACTTCCAGGACAATATAATTTATATAAGCCTCTCTTTTCATTAGCAATGCAATCATTTCGACGAATATCAATTATAGCTCTTTCATGTTTTTATGAATTCGTCGGACACAAAAATTGTCATTTTGTTGTAGTTGTAATTTCTGGAATAAGATGTTGTTGTAAGAGATGTTTTGATTTATATCATGGAAACCATACCCCCGACTCAGAATAAGACGCCAATATTTATCAATAAAATTGGTGAGTCTCTCCCCAAATTTGCATTTCTCACGTAATATAAAGTCTATTGAGAGTAAGCAATAAATCAGGATGTGAGGCATATATAGATTGAATGATTTAAAGTTTACTTTCCAAGCGCCTGAAGATAAAGTTGGCTTATTCACGGTAGATACTATAAAAAAAGTAAAGTGTTCGGCAGACCCGCCCCCCCCCCCTCCCACCTCCTCAAAAAATACGAGAACACCTAAATTTGCACTTTTCCATAGAATCTGAATATTCAATGATTATTCTATGATGTGTGGATATCAGTAATTATGTTTATGCTTAGTATTTATTTGGGGATCATTCTCATCAAGCCAATTTTGGCTTTCATGATTCCCCACTTCCTTTTATCTTATGTTGATAATGAACGAACATGTATATACTTTTGATGTTTTTTAAAAGAGAGTGAAATAAATAAATGAAATGAAATGAAATGAAAATTAATCGGGCTTCGTATTGGTAAGCAAAAAATACCACCAAAAACACACCCTCTGTCATACATTCATCGTTAAGAAAAGTTCCATAGGATAGAGCCCCACCTTATCATCCATAAAATAGCATTCGGAAATGTGTATATAATCAACATTATGTATAAACTTGCTTTCATTAGTATATACCAGTTTCTACTGCTTTAGAATCTAAGGGAGATAACTAAACCGGATCTTATATGCCTTTTCAAAGATGTTGATTCAAAATTCATTATTAAATTACTAGTTTGAACATAATTATATTGTGCCTTTGTGATGAAGTAGGCCTATGTGATTGAATGTTCAAGACTGTGAACAATCTGTCATATTTTCTGTATGATTTGATTTTTGAACGATGCCATCACTATCAATTGATGAAATATAGATATATACAGAAAAAGAAGAAACAAGATTCATTAGAAGTCTATTTGAAAGACTATGTTTATTCTCAGTTGAGCAAACAGTCATTGACAAAAATGCTAAGTCAAATAAAATGATTGTTTCATTGAAAAGAAACAAAAATTAAATGTGCTATAAACAAATTATCAGAAACCATATTTTAAACTTGGCAATTATTCCCACAGAATTCTCAAAGAGTAAGAAATAAATGTATATATACAATCTGAAGTCATATATATTTACAATCCTAAGAACCAATTTCAGGAGACATGTATAAAGATTAATATAATTTCCTGTTAGGATGCTGACCTCATAAAAATATGATTTGGAAATATGACAAAAATTGAGAAGATGACAAAATGAGGAAAAAACAAACAAACAAGATTTATGGAGATTCAACCATTTTTGTAGAGCCTCATCATATACGCATAGATGAGATTACTAACATGATTATGAAGCAAGCCGTTTACCAAAATCTTTACAAAAATATGGCTCAAAGTAAACCTGTATTTGTACAATAAAAATATTGGAAAATTGTAGTCTTATTCAAGTCTAAAATCACTCTGAAAGAGATTAACCAGCCAGCACAAATATAATGTTAAGATGCAGTCATTTGTTGAGTAGCACACAAACGTAGCTTGATCTGTCACTTATCAATTCCAAACATCAGTCCATAACATAGTAAAATATTTTTATTATTACTTACTGCGAACTATAAATATCTAAGATTAAAACTGAGCTAAGAGGAAACATATCAAGAAATAGATTAATGGATACATTTCATTTTTGCATCTCTAAAAAATATCTCAGTTCATCTAGCTAGTCTTAAATTGATTAGGTAGCTTAAATCGAATACAATTCTTCAGATACTGAAATTATACACCAAGATATTACCGAATATATACACTGGTAAGATTGAATATCGCATTTAGTACTGGCTATTTCTGATTTGCTACTCTCATTTAATCAAGGTTTATACTGAAAGTAAAAATGATGAATATATCTGAACTTGTTGACCTGACAAAGAATGATTATATCTCACTAATGATATTGTCACAAAATTTTGCACCTTTCGTTATATATACTTGGTCCAAATTATAGCCTTATACATATCATAACAAAATAAATATAACCTGACATTTACAAATGAAGATGAGGCTGCATACTGCTGCCTAGTACATGACCACCTGATTGCCTTAAATAATGTGTAATGTCACATGATGAAAATGAAAACCCTTCAGCCTACAGGTAAGAAAATACAGAATTTGTTCACATGGCCACCTGAATATTTTGACAATGACCTCTTTTTGACATTTTGTATGACTACATTTCCAGCACAAAATAAAACAGCATCTTTGTGCACCACGTAATCTCCAATATATCATGATAGGTCCTATTTCACTATATCATTTAGTTTAATATATAGTTCCAGGAAGAAGGGGAAAAAAACATTTCAAGTAGTGAAAATGATTTCCTTCCTTCTACTTTATGTATACTTTAAATGTATTTATCAGCCTATGAACATTTACGGGTACTCTCACTATCTTGATAAAACAAAACAATAAATTACTTTTCAGTCAAAGCTTGCAACTTATTTCAAATTTGTTTGCATTCGCTGGATACTCCAATCAGGAAGCAAAAATATGCAGACACCATATTGTTATTGCGTGATAGGAGACACATAAACTACAAGGAAATAACATTTAAACTTATTCATCTTCTTTCATAAACATTTTTATGGATTTCAACTTAAAAGTAACTTCCGATTGAAAATCCCCAATTTCTATTTTCAGATAAATATGATACAAATGAAATTTTATGCATCTTTAATATATATTTGTCTGCTTATTTAATTATCACACTAAAACACAACTGAAATGTCAAGTATGATGGACAGGAATTATATATTACTGCTCATGTTTAGGTATCTGTATCGTTCACACTTTGACTTAAAAATGAAATACTAAGATAATTACTAGATATTCCAGGATAATTTGTAGGTCATACAAATGATCTTAGGATATCTAGTAATACATACTTCTAATAGCAATTACAATAATATAATTTTATTATAAATGATCATTACTACTACTACTAATAATAATAATTTTTATTACTAATTATAGTAATTATGATAATATAATTTATATATTAAAATGATGTAATAATAGTACAGTCAAACCTGCTTTAGTGACCACCTGTCTACAAGGACCACATTTTTTGTTTCCCTTGAAAATGGTTTCTCATTGAAACATGTACTAAAGGAACCTGTCTACAATTAAGACCACTTTTTGTGTTTCCCTTGGGCGGTCGCTGTAGACAGGTTCGACTATAATTAGTATTTAATAATTAGTAATCATAATTTTTATTACTAATTATAGTTATTATGATAATATATTTTATATATTAAAATGCTGCCTGTTCTTGAGTATTATCTTCATATTCTGCTCGGATGCTGTCTAGGAAGCTCATCCCTTCTGTGGACATCTTGTTCTGTTGCTCATGGAAAGATTTCTGCCTCGCCTACGCCACGAAAGAAAAGAGAATAAAAGGAGAGATTAATATACATTTCCTCCACTTCCTAATGATCTTGATTTGATTTGATTTGATTATCTATTGCATTCATAGTTTTTTTTATAATGATAATAATAACAAGTACAATCAGCATTTTTCTGACAATGAATCATAAATAAGCAAATATATATACCGTAACACAATTGTTATTTTTCAAAAACAAAATGATAAACTGTCATAAATACTAAATTTCCTCAAACATTATGAAATTATTTGAGGAAGAAGGACTGTCATCGTAAGCAGATTGCTTGATAATACGACAGCTCAATTAAGACAAGTGCTGGTAGGAAGTCTATATTTAATATCTAGAAAGAAATGTTATTTAAACAGCACAGTGGATTTATCAGCATGAAATTGAAAAGTATTTAAACAAAGTAGAATTGAAACATAAATTAGAGTTGAGTTGAGTTGAGTTGAGTTTATTTCATTTATACACGGTAAAGACCCGAAACAGTTCACAGACAGGTCTCTATCAGGGCCGTGTTGATAAATAGCAACAAAATCATGACATATGAACAAAAGTAATATAACACTGACAAATTTACAACCATAACACAGCAATATATAGAAATCTAGAAATATTGCAATCTGTAATACCGCGCATGTTTGAAAGAGGGACAAAGATCACCTCTCCCCTCCCTGAAACAAAAGTAGAGATCACCACTAGTGGCTCAGACTATTGTCAAGACTAAGAGCAGCATCACCAAAACAATATATGTGCAGATTAGAGTACAATGCATCTCTAATATCTCTATCTAAATAAATTTAAAGAAATGTGTCAAGACATGTGACCTGCAGAGCGACACATGTACAATACAACCCCTAAAATACAACCTTTGACCCTATAAAAGATGGAACACTGGGGGCGGCATCACCAAAACTGTAATTAAAGCTGAAAGACTTTGGTAATTAAAACTATATTGCTATGCCTAAAAGACAGACAATTAAAATTAGTTATGAACATCACAATCTGTTGGTATATATAGTAGAAACAAAACGGAGTATAAAAAGATAATAAATATGTTAAGAACATATATATATATATATATGTGTATGTTAAATATTAAATAAGTAAAACTTTAAAACAAAACAAATCAACACATACATGTAAAAGTCACATACTTTCTACTAAATATTGAAGAGCTTGTTTTGAGACAATCTTATACATCATAATTGCTACATTATTTTTTCTATTATTGTTAAGTGTTTTCAACTTTAGTCTTGTTAAATTTTTACCTGATGAGGAAAACCAAGGACCTATTCGTTATTTGTGCTGTTCTATTCTGAATTTGTTGTAATTTGTTTTTCTTTGTACTTCCACATCGGCCTAAAACTACATCACAATAATTTAATTAAGACAATACTAGTAAATTATAAACCAATTTCATTTCATATTCATTTACAATATTTCTTAAAGATTTGAGCATACCGTATATAATCCGTTACTTGCTTCTTTATGAATAGTATTAATATGTTCCTGCCATGAAAACGCTTTCATCTAAAATTACCCAAAGACGTCTACACTTACTAACTTGAGACTAACAAAGAATTATTGATAGTAATGTTTAAATCAGTATCTGTACCTTTATCCAGACGTTCTTTCGTACCGAATAAAATGTATTCCATTTTCTTTATATTCAAATTTTGTTTGTTTTATATCAACCACTTTTTAACATATTTTAGATCTTCATTTATCTTCCTGCTTACCGGTAATTCTATGGTATCATTTGCCGAGCAATGTATTACCATATCATCAGCATACATGCAAACTTTACAGTGACTGAGGCCAAGTGGCAAATCATTCACATGTTATATCAGAAGCAGGGGTCCTAAAATGGATACTTGGGGAATTCCACATTCAGCTGGCAAAAAAAATTGGACATTATATTGTATTTCTTGGTACCACCAACCCACCACTACTCACCCCACACATAGATTTGCATTTAATATCTATATGTTTTTGTATGTGTTATTGTTTAATTTAAAAAAAAACTATTGTATTTTAAAATAGTAATTTTAAGCAGGGGATGATCCCCGATAAACCTCTGTGGTTTTTGATCACCCCCTCTGCAGGTTCATCTTTTGTTGTAATGCTTTTATATTTGATTGTAATTTAAACTGTCTTTTATGAATCTGTGGAAATAAATGAAATTGAAATTGAAATTGAAATACCGTTAACAGATGCAGACTGCACTCGTCAACACATTTATTTGCAGACGGAATGTTTTTGGCAAAGTTTTTGGCAAAGTTTTTGGCAAATGCTGACAAAGTACTCATTTAGTTATTGAGAAATAGTTTAGTTAAGTATATCTCCTTCCTCATTTTTTATACAAGTTATAATACCTGACCATTTCAGAGTTATAATTTATTCAACACTGCCCATGTTCCTTTCATGTCATGACATGAGTTTTCAATTTGATAACGAAAAGTTTCTATTTTACTTTGATTAAATTTTTAACATACATAATTTGTCATCGTTTTATAATCTAACCATTCTTCAGTAACTTTGATTTCTTCGACATTACATTCCTTTTCCTTGCATTCTTTAATATTGTTTCATTTTTATCACTTTCTTTCTCTTCATTTTCTTTCAATGTTTTTTTTTTAATTCGCTTTCTGTTTCATCGCATCTCTGTTACGCATCAAGCTCAGTATATCTGCATTGATCCATGGAAGTCTATCAAGTTTAACTCTTCTTTTTCGAACAAGTGCATGCATTAATTTACAGATTGATCAGGATCACCTGCACTAAGAACATAATTCCAGCTTTCATTCCTGAATTCAGTGCAAATGACTCATTATCTAATTTTACCATTTCAATATCCTTAATCATGAGATTAAACCTGATTTTATAGTTAAGTTGATTGTCATTGATATATAAAAGCACTCCCCCACCTTGTCTATTACGGTCCTTTCTGTACACAGCATAGTCATCAATGCGTATATTTATCATCTGATATTATTTCACATAAACGAGTTTCATTCAATGCAATAACATCAAAGTTATTTTCCGATATAATCACATGTAAATCATCAAAATTAGAGCAAACTAGCAAAATAATCGTATATTTAGATGAGCAAGTCGCAATTATCCACAGTTTCTCTTTATTCTACTATGAGATTTGCGACAATACTAGCCACTCTTTGTTGAGTCACCTTGGTTAGAAGTACTAATCTCATCATTAATATAAGGAATATCAGAAGTGATAAATAAAAGAAACTACATCCTCATCATTGTTATAAGGACAACAAAAAGTGTCTTGTTCATCATGATTTTCCGAGATGAAGTGAATATGATTCAGTTCAAAATCATTAGAGTTGCAAAGAGGTTAATTCATCTTGATAACTGTTAGAGTCAGAGATTGTCAGTTTGTAAGTATGACAGATATGTAGCCTAACCATCTTATCGACTTCATGTTTATTTAATGATGTGTAATTTTCGTTCACACAGACGCTGCATGTTCATCAGCAGAATAATCACTTGCTTGCATGATCCGTGCTATTCATGTCAGCTTCTCAATTACAAGCACTGTATCAGTAACTCGGGAGAGAGATAACTATGAGCCGAGAGAGCTGCGGGTTAGGCTCACTCATCATGGCCATTAAATTAATAATTATTTTCTGCACAGAACTTGGCCTTATGACCAAAGTTCTGACAATTATGACATTGAAGCATGCCGTCGTGCCAACATTCACTCCTGTCGTGGTTTTTTTCTCCACAGTTGAAGCATCCTGAATACCGGTAGTCCCTTGTTGGGGGTTGATATCGGTCCGATTGTGACTCCACTGTGTTAGAATCTATCGTCAAAGGATTCTGACACAAACAAAGAGGAAACTTTATCTACCATCGCCATTCCCTAGTGAAAATATTCCTATCATTCCACATCATAATGATCTGCACTAGTGAGGAATTCACGGCTCACATTCTAACAGAATACATTAGATGTACAGAGTTGTAAAGGATATTCATTTATTTCCTAATTCTGAAGTTTTTAACTGGATACAAATCAATTCCAAAGGGTTCCACATAAACCTTTAGTGAAGCTGCATGTATATCAGTATCAAGTAATTTCTTGGCTTTTCCTAAATGGATTAAAATCAGTTGCATAGAAAACCTGGGATCAAATTTGTATCAAATGAAGGTGTAAGTCATATCATGTATTTCCTTTTTACTATTCTGACAAGTTTCTCAATGATTAAGGACCAATTTTAAGGAATGAGTTACCACCTAATATTAAAGCAAGCTCAACTTTAAATACATTTAAAAAGAGATACAAACAATTACGTTTTATGTGAATAGCATGTTATTAGTTTTATATTATATGCAATCAGGTGTTAGATGTTAGGTGTTAGCTGTAAGGTGTTAAGTGTTATAGGGTAAAAAACAAAAGACTTTACTGTTCTTTCTTGTCAGTTTCCTAATTCGTATATATCATTGTGTTTTGTGTTTCTCTTTTGTTATGTTATTTGTATGTTCTTTACTTATCTGTAAATATCAATGTTATAATTATATATGTTTTTATATGATGAATGGAATGAAATGAAATGAAATGAAATGAAATGAATAACATAGAGAACAGGGATCTGCTTACCATAAGAGCTTGCTTTTCATTTTGTTTGGGGGTAACTGGTCTGTCGGTATCTGGTATCTGGAATTGAAAAAAAATTGAAACAGAAATTGAATAAAGCTTGAGATATTTCTTTTTGCATTTGAAATCGATTATCTTGTCGAGTGAAATATCTACTGAAAGTGATCACATTAAAAAGATATAAAAAATCTTTGTAGCCTTCCTACTTTATGTATGCAATTCATTTTCAAATGTAACTTAGTTTAATGCCATTTGTATTGTCATATATTTTCCATTTTTATGGAAGTGAAAAATAAACAAACTTGTAAAACAGAAACAAAACATTACCATTAAAAGCATGATCAAGCGCTACACTGCTTACATTACAATGGTGAGTTATTTCCCATGTTCTTAAGTAGCAGTGATCCTATTCATGTTTTTCTGCAGTTAATCACTTTTTAGTCAATATTCTTTCCAGATTCTTTAGAAAATGTTCACATTTTGACTGATCTTACCTCTTCTGATTGTCCAGCATTATTCACGTCTTGACTAGAAGATCTGGTTGGGGACCTGTAGTTTGTAATGAAACAAAATAAAGCTTTTATTTAGTAAAATATAGAAACAAGAGGCTAGAGTCCAATATAAAACTGTGTACGCTTTAAAGCATTTTTCAAAATTACACAAAGCTGGTATGCAGGATGCAGATATCACAGGTCAACATTATACTGTATTTGCATGTACTAATCAATGAATCTCCTCAAATATTTGTTTCTATCTTTTAAATCTCTTCTATCTATGAACAGAGACTGTCAAAGATTCTTACGGTGTTCTGCTTCTCAAGGTATTCCAAGATATGAGGCTATACTTACTGGCTTCTGAGTTGAGAGAGTGAGCTGTCTTCACTCTTGAGGTCCTTTCTACAGGACTTGAGGAACTTCTCCACCTCGGTCTGCTGGTAGTCTGAGGCCAGGTCCAGGGCTGACCGACCCATGATGTCTTCACAATCCTCACAGGCTTTGTTCGCTACCAACCACCTGCAGGAATCGATGTGACCACTGGAAAGACACACACACACACACACAAAAAAAAAACGATATTTAAGAATTCTTGTCATGCAAATGAAACCGGTCTCAAACATATGACACATCAGCTAAGAAATGAATATGAGGAGAGAATTAATTACGTATGGATCGAAAAAAAGGAAAGAAAAGAGTATCACAGTAAAAATTTAACTTTATGAATTGAGACTCTGACGTCAGCTTTCATTGCTGGTTTAAGAACTGACATACAAACATATAGTCTAAGAATAGGAGGTACGGTGAAAAAAAAAATGTGCATACTATCTAACCTCCCTGGTATTCCATAGAATTCCTCCCATAATATCACTGTGAGAGCACAACGCTAATTTGATCAGAGTAAATTCCAATATCATTAATACATATCTCCCATTTATGTTCTCAAATCTTATAAGGATCTATATTCTAACAACATATCAATGATGCCACATGCCATTTGAAAAAAAATCATTAAACTTCTGATGACTTATTCACAACATCTGTACAATATTTGGAAAGGATGTTAGAATTTTAAAATATTAATTAGATAAAAATTCATCCTTACCTCATAGCAGCTAGGTGGAGAGGTGTCTGCTGATCCACCGTCTTGCAGTTGACGTCCACCCCCATAGCGGCCAGTACCATCATTATGTTTACATGGCCATTCATGGCAGCCTGGTGCATTCCGTTGTAGCCTGTAGGGGTGAGCATGTTGACGTTGACGTCACTGACGATCAGCCACTTGACGATGTCCGCATTGCCGGAGCCAGCCGCACAGTGGAGTGGTGTCCAACCCCTTTCATCAGGAGTACTGAAAGCAAGAAAAGACAAATAATGTTACTAAAATTCAGATTTTTCATCAAAATAAGTGACAAATAGAAGAGATGTCAATACTTTTTTATCATTGAAATTAAGAAGCAAACTCTTCATCAATCTCCAAAACCGAATAAATAATGGTTTAGATGTTTTAGGAAAACATAACACTAATATAATTGTAATTTCAAAACATGAGAACATAGAACAGAAAATGAAAAATTCTGACTCAAAAAGTACATAAACTTTTGAAGCAGTTTGAAGTTGATTGTGTGACAATGGAATGTCAAAAATATTAATGATTTTGTTTGAAGGGACTCTGTACTACTACAATATCAATGTACAATTTAATCCAGGAAAACATTACATGTCACAGAGACTTCAAAACTCTTTGCAGTTAATAAATGAATTTTTGTTTTGCTATTTGTTTTTAAAATCTTAGACTTACTCCTTTAGTTCTGGTTTGAGTGTGATAAGAGCCTTTATTCTGTCGAGGTCTCCTTTCTTGCAGCAATCATGGATAGATGGACCAGACATCAACCTCTCCTCTTCTTGCCTCTTCCTTTCTTCTTCCTCTTCTTCTTGCTCTTTTCTTTTTCTGTCTGCCTCTTCCTTTGCCTTGATGCCAGCCTGCAAAACAAAGTGTGATGATGAAATTGGTTATAACAATCCATACTGTAGCATTAATACAGAATACATAGATTTTATTCAAACAATGAAAAACGATTTATTAGCACAATACCATAATAAGTGTCATTTTTTTGTACAGACAACACATTGCTGTTTTCAACTGTGTAATTGTTTTCTCATCAATCCTCCAGCCTTCATGTATCATTATACTATCTGCAATTTTCTTGCAAAACCAATGAAGTCAGGGTGACTAATCTCTTCAATAAGTTGAATTTCTACTGTGATGACATATAAATAATTGTCAGGCTAGGAAGTACATATTTGGATCAAAGAAAGAGTATTGGCCATCCAATTGAGATGTTAGTTCATAGCTAACATGCATAATGTGCTGACAGGTAGAAGGGTGTGAACTTAAAGGGAGTCACTTGTCAGTTTCAAAGGCCATAATTCGCTGACACCAGACTTGGTAGATAAAAATCATTAACGTGTGTACAGGTATTAGGTCTGCACACAGCGAACTCGTAGGCCAATCAAGAAATACCCCCTCATCTATTGGAGATCTCGGGGTGAGGGAAAAGTGAGATAATGACTTTACCATGTGGGGAAATGGGTGGAAAATGCAGTACATTACATAAGGCCTGCTGGTTATTAAACTGAAGGCTACTTCTGGTGATTGAAAGCACCTCTTATTGGGTAAACACCTGAACGGTGTTGAATTCCCCATGAGAGCTAACTACTGAGTGTCTTTAACATTAAGAATATGATTTATTGCCCTTCAGGTTCTAAGCAGATAATATATCCCCTCTTACCAGGTATCCACTCATGAAGACATCAGTCCCTTTCTTCTCATCACTGGAGGATGGAGGATGAGGCGAAGGATGCCTGGAGTTGATGGGTGTTGACTGCTTGGGTCTTGATATCGATGCATCTCTTACTTCTGTCGGTAATGGCTCTGAATGCTGGGGCTCTTCCATCTTCCCACCCCTGAAGAAACCCCTGCTGGTACCATTCCCCTCATTGTCACTGTGCCCATCACCCTTCCCTCCCTTTCTCCTGCTACTGCGATCACCACCCTCCGTTTCACTCCCGCTACTGCTTCCACTATCGCTACTACTACTACCACTCCCGCTGCTGTCTGTATGATCTGTTGTGCGATCTCCACCACTTCTCTCTGTATCACTGACATCAGAGTCACTTTCCGTTTCAGTGGCAGTTGTCGTTGAAGCGGCACGTCTCCTGCGGTGCCTTCTCCTGCGCCCTGATCTAACCGAAGAACCACCATCTGTCTCTGTAATCTGGCTCAAGTGAGGATCAGTGTTGGTATAGACGCTGCTGTCATCACTGCGTTCAACAAAGTCTGTGCCTTCGCTGTCTGATCCACTGGATGAAACATCTATATGAAGGTAAAACAGAGATCATTCACATTAATTTTGGAAAGTGACATATCAGTTCTGAAATGAGGAACAAGGGAAAATATTGAGAAACCATCGAAAGTTTTCAAGTATAAATTAATTTTTTTTTTAAATAGATCAATCAGCGGGTAAAAAATACCATTTAAATAATCACTACTAATCATATGATTGAAAAGAAAAAAATAAATACCATAAAGAAATAAATGTTTTAAATAGGTTGGGGATCTTAATTGTATTAATCTTCCAGTAAAATCTAGAGACCTATCTCTTGCACCCATTTCACAATGACATGATATTGAAATAATTGTTGTTTATACAAAATGAGTGGCACCGGTGGGATATCTACATAGTATATAATTTATATGAAATGTTCATTACTTGAACTACTCCACAGTGTTAATGAAATTAATTATGATATACAAATATTTACATGAATATATAATCAGTCAAACCTGCTTTAGTAACCACCTGTCTACAAGGACCACAATTTTTGTTTCCTTGAAAATGGTTTCTCATTGAAACATGTACTAAAGGAACCTGTCTGCAAAGGCCACCTGTCTACAAAGACCACTTTTTTGTGTTTCCCTTGGGCGGTCGCTGTAGACAGGTTTGACTGTATATGTTATATTATTAAGGTAAAGAAACGCTATGCTGAATCAGCGAAGTATACTCTAGTCATCATTTAAGACGAACATAGGGTCAAACTTTTACATACAGACGACATAAGAAAAAATGAAAAACAGCCAGATGGACTTGATATACAGGTTTCCTTTAGTAAATGTTTCAATGAGAAAACTGCTCAAGGGAAGTACAGAATGAGGTCTCTACAAAAAGGTGGTGTTTCTATACCAGTAGTTGCTCCAGAAAGTTTGACTGTAAAACACTTCTTTGCCTTACCCATGATGATGTTAGTAACCGGTAGAGTTCTGACCGTCCTGCCGTCTTCATCCTGAGCCGAGAGCCACCTCTCAACCACAAACTCATAGCTGATATCATCACCATACTCCCTGATCATCAGCTTATCCAAGAACCAACCACATCCTGTTGAAAAGCCACATAAAAACATTAGCACAAATATTATGTTACAGAGCTCACTTGCGGTCATTATATTATGCAAAATATAAACAATATAGAAGGCTGTGACTTCGCAAGCCTTCATTTATGTGTCAATATGAGACCGCTTGCAATCTCTCTCTCTATCTTCTCTTAATCTACACCCCTTCTCTTTTCTTTTGAACATTGAACATCTCAAATGAAATATACATTAAACTTAAATCTTTTTCTATTTTGAGTAAACATCGAAGTATCTTTCTTTTATTGTTGTTATCATCTTCATTAACAAGCTCAATTGAAAACTCCTCATAAAAGAAAAGGTGATAACGTAAAAATCACACAAAAGTTAATTATCAGTAAATTTTTTAAGCATAAATTAAAGTGTTTGCATATTATCTGTACAAATTATACTACTGATAACACTTACCCAATTCTTTCCTGTCATGACCAATGGTTATGCACTCCAACTTGCCTACGTAGAAGGATTCTACTTTAAAGACATCAATCTGAAAACAAAAATACACAATAAACCGTCATAAAGTAGATTATAATGAATTAATTTCATTTTGAAAAGCAAAATGACAAATGCTTCTCTGCAGGCTGATACATAAAATTGGTGAATAGATTAAGAGGTGCTGTGGTTTTGTGGATATGTCATCAGAATGTGGTCCACATGGCTTCCTCCTTTGGCAATTCATCAATCTACAATTACAACTCTCCACTGAGGTGTTAAATGGGTATTGGTAGGAAGGAATTCCTTGAATGCTGTAAGCGTTTAAAACAGCAGTCTAGCAGAGCCTGGTAAAAATTGAAGCACCTCGAGAACCTTATGTGGTGGATATGTGTGTTATAAAAATATCAAATATTCTTATTGCTTAGAAGTGGGTAGCATTAAACTTGAGACTACTCACCTGTCCTTTTTGGAACTTCATCTTCTTCCCATCCTTGGTTTCCTTTGATTGCTTCAGTTTGATCTTTCCTGTGTTGCCCTTCTCTCCGTAAAGTATAATATGCACATCAGCTCTCGTGCTTGCACCTAATCTGTTACCAGTGTGGATCGCCATTTCATATACAGTCCTCTTTCCTGATTTCAGTCGCGGACCATGTCGCAAGTGATCGTAATCGTCCAATTCCTCCTCTTCCTCCTCTGAAGGAGAAGGGGTGGGGTCAGGGGTTATCTGGGTTGAGATTTCAAGAGGGGCAGCATCTGTCTGTGTGCTGATTGCCTCGGGTATTGTCTGCGTGCTCATCTCGGGGAGGGTCTGTGTGGACATGGCGGGCCCCGAGGAGGGGGTCTGCGTGCTGATCTCAGGGCAGGGGGTGATTGTTTGAGTTGAAATCTCTGGAGGTGGGGGCAGCGTCTGCGTACTCATTTCTGGAGGAGGGGGGATCGTCTGCGTGCCTGATGTTATAGGAGGGGGATCGGTCTGCATCGAGATCTCCGATTGCCATGGGTCGGTTAGTGCTTCGACGGTGTTCGCACGCCGCGTCTGCGTTTCTTGAGTGTTTTCACGTTCTACTGTCTGCATGGCTGTTTCTACACCGGTCTGTGTGGTGCTGTCGTAACTGACTAAAGCCAAGTCGTTCTGCAGGATCGTTGGTTCTTGGTAGATGCTGTCATCATCTTGCTCCTCTTCCTCCTCCATATCATCATCATACAACTGCATAGCTCCTCCAGCCATATCAACTTTGGACATCTGAATGCTGCAAGATGAAATATTTACTTCACATTAATTCATTGCAGATTACTGGTTTCAAAATAATGCATATTTCTGATGGGTCTTATCTGATTAATTTCTGGCTTAGTATTAAAAATGTGAAAAAGGTGAGAGACTGTCATAATGTACCCAAGTAACTTCAAATGACAAAGGCTGATCTTAAGCCAGGTTTGAACATTACAGATAAACCTAATCAACATGATACTGACATATTAATTAACAGGACTTTCTTTCTAACATTGTCATCATCAATGGCATATTCTTTCAACCATCTAATGATAAAGTTCAAGACTACCATCAAAGCTGCATTTCCTAAATAAAACAGTACAAATTCAAGCATCAAGAACGTAGAGAATATATTTAGCAAGATGACATACTTGAGCCATTCAGGGGTCTGTGAAGTACCACTCCTAACTGGAACCAGCATACTGGTTGGGCCATCTTCTGAGATATCGTCTTCAGTCTCTGACTCAGAGGCCTCGTAATGGTTAGGGGGCGGGGTAGGCCTGATACGGATCCTCTGCCCGTACTGGTCATACCTGTCATAAATGAAAAACAATAATCCCTTATTGATTTAAAGTTAGAAAAGTGATAGTCATACTGTTTGTTCTCTCAGTTTTGCGACTGTATGACATGGTAGTAATCATCTTCCAATGCCACTCATGTATCAATTATAAAACTATTTCACAGAGCATTAACTCATAGGATACTGAAATGTGAATTATAGAACATAACTCCTTCATTTAATCTTTTCACACTCTGTATACTTTTAAGGTGTTATTTGCATAAGAATTAACATTAGAATTCTCTTTTGTCAAGATTTTCTGCATAGGGAGTAATGACATTGTTACAATAGGACACATATATTTTGTTTCCACACAAAGCCTAGTTTAAGAACTACTTTACTAGTCAGTTGTAGGCCTATACATACATCAAGAAGATGGAAGTACAGACAACCTTTTCTAGTAATTAACATAGGGCAAGACTGGAACCCTGACACTGACCCATATCGCTTTGTGCTGGGATTGTAAACAGCAGATTTGGGTCTCATTCCTCTTGAGGTCTTGGGCCTGCTCTCATCCATGCCCATGGCAGACTTGGGCCTCATGCCATAGGTAGACCTGGGCCTATCAGGCCTCCTGGGTGGATACGTGGCAGAGGACTCGATGATTGGTAGACTACCCCCGGGTCCCATCTGTTGTGTAGCATAGACCTAATAAATAAACAAACCAATTACAAATTTATTTATTTTTAGTCACAAATGTTTAAAGCCACAATAGAGCAGACCAAATGAATGACAATGTTTTCTCTTACCAAAATGGTATTCAAACAAGTAAAATAGGTAATTATAACATCTTTTCTTCTAAATTCATTTCATAAAGATACTTTACAAAGCAAGAAAGCATGAGTAAACTTCAAATATTAACGCACTAAATATAGAAAACATTCAGATTATCATTCTAAACATAATACAAATGCAAATACTATACTATTTAAAAAAAGACTCACCCTTGCTGAATACTTCTTGTTCTTTTTGCCATTCTCAATCGGGATTGTTTCCTAAAAAGAAGAAAAATAGGTAACCAATGCTGAAAAGATGTTTTTTCACAAATAATTCCTTCTTTTTGTACCTAGACAGTACAATATAAAGCAATGTGAAGAAATGAACAGATACTTAGAGGAAGAAATTGCAAAAAGAATTACAGGAAATGCTATAGACTAGAACCATGTAACTCATGCTCCTGCTGATTGTGTTAACACATTCAGGAGATTTTATGAACTATTCAAATTGGATGAAAATATAATTGTTGAAAATAATTTGAAAAACAATATTCTATCCCTTCAATTCATCATTTTCATATAACTCTCTACAGATCTTCATGAAATAAAAAAAAATAAATGAATATCCAAAGGGTTACGGGAATTCTTTCAAACTTACCGATGCAACAAGGAGTTTGGTAGCAGTGTTGACCAATCTCTCTGTCTCTCCTTTGGAAAGGTAAGGGCCATGTTTTGACCTCAACATAAGAGGGCCGCCTCGGAAGTTACCTCGCCTCTTCTTAGGAGCAGAAGCCTTGGGTCTGACGATTGTAGAATACGCATTCTGTAAGGACAACAAAAATAAAAGAAATATTTGATATAAGATTAATCATGCAGGGATATAGATTTAACAAAAAAAAATAGCATTACCTTCTCCGTAGGTCAAAACCTCTCATTTAAAAGTAGACAATGTTTTCCCCAGACATTGAAAATGGAAGATGCACATATAAATATGGCTTGCTTCTTTCTTCCGGTATATATCTCTGCAAAGACATAAACTCCAAATTTGTCCAAAATAACTTGTATCATCTGAACAATTCATTCATTCATTACTATTAGAGAATTACATTCAAAATATTATTGATAGTCTACAAAGCTCTAAATGGTCAAACGCCTAGTTACGTTACTGAATTGTTGCATATCAAGTCTCAAACTCATGGTCGTAACCTTCGTAGTACACAAGACACATTTATGTTGCAAATACCCCCATATAAAACCAAAGTAACTCTGGGGGATCGGTCATTTCTCTGTGCTGCCCCTAGATTATGGAATAAATGACCACTAGAAATAAGGAAAGCCCCATCACTAGACAATTTTAAATCAAAACTGAAAACTCACTTGTTCATATAGTATGTATAGCACAGCATTTACAAGCTCTTGCAGCGCAATAGAATATATCCACATAGTTATTGCGCTTTACAAATGAATATTATTATTATTATTATTTTATTAGTATAGACACTTTTTCTCAGAAAAAAATGATAAAAAAAAGATTTTAAATAAAATCACAATCCTGTTATATATTTTATAATCTAATTACTTTTGAGAAGGTGACAACATTTGTAGTCCTCATTAATTTTCAATTATGGGACAGAACTTATTCAAATGTATGCAAAATTATGTACATGATATATTACAATATATTACAAAATAAAACCCCCAAAAATCACTTCTGCAGTTTTACTCTGCAGTATAAGTGGACAATACATTTTTAAAGACTAGTTGCAACTCACTGCAGTACCCATTGAAGCACGGTTAACTACAGCACACATCTATCTTCCCTGAAAGGGAAGCACTATAAATACAATCACTCTGTCTCCGAAACATCTCATCCTGGTCTTGTATTATGTAACACTTCACTACACCTGCAATTTGCATTCTCTAAAGAAGCACAGAACCATTACCAGTATTTTGCATCTTACGTCACAGTCCATATAATTCAATCATTATGCATTTAATTTGCTTCTTACAAAGCCATCCAATTTTATCTGGCAAACAAAATGTTTAGGGCTAAGCTTTCAGCTTAAAGTAAAAGCAGATTGTGGTTATTTTTATATATTATCATTTCCGTTATAAAAGGTGCAATTATATGGTGTCATATTTGATAGGCCTGTACAATTAAAAGACACATAAACATGGATGAGTGTTTAGGCTATCAAATTGTCATACTCAAAGAAAATTTCATGTCTGCTGTATCAAACTCAGATGAAAGAAGTTTATGCACTCTAAACTTTGACACACCAGCAAATTATGATAAATATACATGTAATGGAAGATTTACGCCTATAATCAAAATATCCTCAAACATGTATCTTCCATCCTTCTAACACATATCTTAAAGAGTTCTCACTGATTAACAAATTATGAACTGTATATATCAAAACACAGTTTAATAAAATAAGTACCGGTAGTAGGCATCAAACCATTTTAACGACACATTTCTATTTTCAAAGAAAGTACTTACCGTGTACTGTGTTTTATTCATGTATTTGTCCACATCACGTCTGCAAATAAAATAGAAAAATCATAAATCAATACACTATTTTTCAGAAAGAGAGAAAGGGGCCATATTGCACAGGATTTTCATGGTCACTCACTTTTATACGCATATTATACTTTTGGTCTTGCCATACATGTATGTACTCCAATTTTAATGAAAATCCTAAGTTTCCTTTTATACACAAGCTCAAATTTGCCCAACAAAAGTGTTTGTTTTTTTAGAAAAGAATGTATATGTGTAGCCGTTGGTATTTATCACAAGGCATATACATGTATATAATACAGTATATTCAAACATTATAGGGATAGTGTGCATATTGACTTATACTCTCAACACAAACATTACATCATCAACTGCGTTTTTAGTGCTCTACATTTATGAACTATGAGTTGGAACGACTGACTTTTCATTTCACATTGAGTGCTCTACATTTCCAAAGAAGAGCAGATCAATTATGTTGTTCTTGTATGCACTTTGTTTCAATCTGTAAACAAATGTTCAATTCATCCTAATGGTTGCGAGACAGATTTTCAAAATACCTATACCGTTAGATAGATAACTGTACTGTATCATGCAATGTACAGAATGATATGTGTCTCGGATATATAAACGCTGAGAAGTTGATTTCACATTGCGTGCTCTACATAATGTTAACATGGATCAAATGAACTGTGTATGTCTTAGAAGGTGTGTTCACATTACCTGACTTTATCCTCAGTGGCCATTGCACTAGATTTTGGTCTCATCTGGGTCATGTGTTTCTTGACCTCTGGGCTCTTAAAGTAGTGCTTCAAAGATCGATCATGAAGACCATCATAGAGGAGGGTGGGCCGCTGCAAAGACAGAAGATATACAGATACACGTATTACTTTTAACATCCATTACATAGGAGTTTGCATTCTGTAAAAATGTTTGATTATACAATTACTGGTACAAATACACATATATTTATATATATAATGAAAGCTTATCAAGATCTTTATTAACAAGAGAGAAATTTCTCTGTATGCAAATAACTAAATGATGATGTCTGAAAAAATATAATCATTACAACAACTGTCAAAAGAACTTGTAGAATGAACAATTTTATACAGTAGAAATCTCATTCGAGGAAAAATATTAAGTCAACCCATTTTGTAAAGTCCCATATCATCCATTGATAAATGTTCTGGTTTTTCATTTTGTTGACTACAAATATAATAATAATAATAATAATAATAATAAAGATTATGACAAATTATAACAGTGATTACAATATCTGAAGAAGTGGTTAATGCCCCATCAATAAATGCCTTCAACTCGATACCTATTGGAAAAAAAATCACCTTCAGTATATGACCCTGAAGTATAACTAGAAGAAGAATGCAGATTCCTCGACACACACACCTCGACACATAACCACAACAAACTGAAGTATTGATGTAAAGGAACTCAATCGATTGATGAACAGACGCTGTCGTACCAACATCGATGGATTAAAGTTAAGTTAAGTACATACAATAATGATAATAACAATAATAAAAATGATAATACTCTGAGTCAGAATCTTACCGGTTTAAGAGTTGGGTAATGCCTCTGTGGTTTATCTGGTCCTGAGAGATCAAAGGCATCCTCCAGACGTTTTACCTCCATGTAATATTTTCTGAAAAACAAAGCAAAACAACAATAATAAAAGAAATTATATCAACACCATGAGAATGAAGTAAAAATATCCATGTACATCTTTCTAGTAAAATATGATGAACAAAAATTGTGATAGGCCTTCAATTTTCGTAGACATAGACCTATCATAGGGACATATTAAGTGACCCCTGGGATATAATATAATAATAAGGTATGTCACAGCTTGTAGAACAAAAAGTATATCTGCCCCTCCCCCAAAAAAATAAATATGTGTATTAAGAATGTATATTGGGAACAGTCAATTGAATATTGCAAAATAAATTGACAGCAAACTAATTATTTAAGTAATGAAAACAAAACTGTCAATATATAATGAATCAATCAAAATTGTTGACCACTGAAGAGATGCATGCTAGGTGAATTATAACTTAAATTTCTACATATCTGATTAATTCATTATGATTTAGACTAGGTCAGATTCTTCAATAAAAAGAAGATCTAATATTCAATTTCGACTCTAGCTGGTATTAACATTTTGTTAAAGTCAAAATAGCATTTAATAGCAATCTGTCTCAGCATTTGAACAAAACCTCCTTCCAATTCCATTCACTGATGCGGTTTCAAAGATCTTGCAGCAAAATTGCTCAAAGTCAAATTCAATAAATATACTTCATAGCAAGTAGTCCATGATAAACGTTATAGAACACCTGACACCTGTCATTTAATGTATCAGTGTAGAATCAACATAATTATATTTATGTGTGTCAAGCTCAAATATTATAATTTACAGACAGACATGCACTGCACTGATGCAGTTGGATATATCAAAACATTTATTAAGGATGATCGAATCCGTAACGTACCAATCTCAAGTCTATATTCTAAGTCAGACTAAAATATATTTACTTACAATTTCTTCGCAGTGCTCTTGATAACATCCTGCGACGACATCTTGAGGTCTAGTCCAAGCAATTATCACCAAAATGCTAATATGTCCAAGAAATCAAGGTGCAAATATCGTCTTGGATACAGCCCGGTAGATAATTGATTAATTGCAAGCTAGCGTCTCTGCACGTTGAGCTATATTGATAAAATTACAATGAGGCTGCACGCGAAAAAATACACCTGTCAATCGATGCGATGTGTACGGTCGTACACAACCTTTGGTAGCTAGGGAGACGCCTCACCCTTGGTAAATATTGCTATTCGTCCGACAGTCTTAAAAAGTCTGTATTTCAAGTCAGATATTAGCAATGACATGGGACAGATATCCCCGAAATTAATATCAATTCTGAAGTAAAAGACAGAATGAACACTTAAAAGAGTCAATTTAGTGAATATTACTTCAAGATGATATAAGTGATTATTAATCAATTACGCATGCAAATGAGCTTCAATTAAAATATACATCCGCTCGTTTCCATGGACGGCTGTACACAATAACTCAGTGGAGAAAAGTTAAGCCGGTACCGGTGATCAACGAACAAACTAATCAAAATGGCAGCTTCCATGGGTCGAGAGTTGTTGCCTATTCATGGTTTCAAAGATGACATACTGAAATCCATCCAAGATTCTAGAGCTTTAGTCATAATAGGAGAAACTGGAAGTGGCAAAACTACACAACTTCCTCAATTTTTATATGAAGCTGGTAAGTTTTAGTGATATTATTGAACATGAATCATTTTTTAGTTTTATGTCATTGTCCCATACGCTATGATTGATGTAGCTGTAGTAATTTCACTAGACTATATTTTTACCACTCCAGCAAAGCATAGAGAGTCATAGACCGAAAGCTTCAGTCTCTATAATCGTCGGTTGTTCCACTGAGACTACGTCTGGCTCCACTAGACCTCCGGTTATAGAGACAGAACGATCGCCTATGCCAGCCTATGTTGAACTTATTCCGCTAGATATTAGCCGCTAGGCCCCTCCCACAAACTTGCCACGGCCGTATTGTTATGCCCCCAAAATCCCCCAAAATGTCATTTTACCTCGTTCATTTCCAATTTTAAATTAGGTCTAGGCTATAATACATCGGTTCCACTTACTAACTTCATTGATATAATCCGTTTAATGGTCCCTTTTAAGGAAATTATCGGTCAAAATCGACATCCATGTTGAAAATCTTGCAAGCCGTGTTTAACTCTCGCTGCCGTCAATCTCATCCCTTCTAGTCTACGCCGAAGGCAAAATGATTATGAAGGAAAAACTGTGCGCCATCTACACGTTCGTAATGGCGTTATCACAGTTTTTCCTTCATAATCATTTTGCCTTCGGCGTAGACTAGAAAGGATGAGATTGACGGCAGCGAGAGTTTAACACGGCTTGCAAGATTTTCAACATGGATGTCGATTTTGACCGATAATTTCCTTAAAAGGGACCATTAAACGGATTATATCAATGAAGTTAGTAAGTGGAACCGATGTATTATAGCCTAGACCTAATTTAAAATTGGAAATGAACGAGGTAAAATGACATTTTGGGGGATTTTGGGGGCATAACAATACGGCCGTGGCAAGTTTGTGGGAGGGGCCTAGCGGCTAAAATCTAGCGGAATAAGTTCAACATAGGCTGGCATAGGCGATCGTTCTGTCTCTATAACCGGAGGTCTAGTGGAGCCAGACGTAGTCTCAGTGGAACAACCGACGATTATAGAGACTGAAGCTTTCGGTCTAAGAGAGTCAATGCTAATGCGTATTGATTTTTACAGGGTGTCCCTGAAAAAAGGGAAACATAAGTTTAATATTATACTTCATGAGGTAGACTAATCCCTGAAGCAGCTTTTCCAAGCTATATCTTACTCAAAAGTCCCAAATTATATTTTCATTATTGTATTTTTCATTCAAAAACTTGACATATGAATCTGAAGTGATGGCAAGAAAAGAGAGAAAAAGACTAAATTTGTTTAGCCTATTTTGCCTAAAAAAAAGTAAAATCTAAATTCCTAAAATAATGGCTCAGTAAACTTTTAATAGCAACAAGTTAAAGGCTAATGCCAGTGTAGGCTGTAACGCCTTTAATGGAGTTATCAATGCTTGCCCTTGGGCTTGGTAATGCCTAGGTTATTTTTATTTTACTTCTTTATACTCTAGCTGTCATTGTCAATCTTCGTAAAAATGGCACTTTCATTTTGTTAAGGTTTCCACAAGCATGGGATGATCGGGGTGACTCAGCCAAGGCGTGTGGCAGCCACGTCTGTTGCATCAAGGGTTGCTGATGAGATGAGATGCAACGTTGGAGGCAAGGTTGGATACCAAGTCCGTTTTGATGACTGTACATCAGATGGTAGGACAAAAGTTTACAGAGAGAGTAATTCCTATGTAGTCTGATTAGGATCTTTTTCATTAAAGAAATTATTATTATTATCAATATTATTATCGTTCTTGTTGTTGTTATTTTTATTATTATAACTATTATTAGTAGGATTCTTGTTCAGTTGTTCCTATTATTCTCTTTCTTCATCTTCTTCTTCTTCTCCTCCTTTTTTTTAAAATTGCTTTTCTTTTTCACATTTTTGTTCTTCACTTTCGTCTTGCTGTTGTTGTTCTTCTTTTTCATCTTCTTGTTCTTTTTCTTATTCTTCTTGTCCATGTTCTTGTTCTTCTTTTTCTTCTTCTCCTCCTCCTCCTCCTCTTCTTCATCTTCATATTATATCATTGTTATTATTATTATTATCATTATTATTATTATTATCATTATAAATCTTTTCTTTTATAATATTAGCTGTAAAGTATGTAGTCAGATTAGGATCTTTTTCAATAAAGAAATTATTATTATCAATGTTAGTTATTATTATTCTTGTTGTTGTTATTCTTATTATCATAACTATCATTAGTAGGATTCTTGTTCTTATTCTTCTTTTTCTTCATCTTCTTCTTCTCCTCCTTCTTTTTTTAATTGCTTTTCTTCTTCAAGTTTTTGTTCTTCAATTTTGTCTTGCTGTTGTTGTTGTTGTTTTTCTTCTTATTCATGTTGTTTTTGTTCTTCTTGTCTGTGTTCTTGTTTTTCTTGTTCTTTTTTTTCTTCTTCTCCTCATCTCCTCCTCCTCTTCTTCTTCGTATTATTATTATATCATTATTATTATTATTATCATTATAAACATTTTCTTTCATACTATTAGCTGTTAAGTCTAAGTTGGTTGGCAATATGTCCTGAACCTTCTGAAGTTTTAATTAGCAGGGCTGCCAGGGCAGTAGCCTACTCTGCATGTTGCTAACTTAGGAAAGGCATGGTAGCGCATGCTAGATTGTGACCCTGAAGCTTTCCACAGATAGAGCCATAACTGATTAACTGCATGCACTCCAAGCTCGACATGTTCTTCAGGAAGAATGGCTATTTGTATACATCCTTTTGGGCATAAGGGATTTTAATGAGTGGATATTGAATAGTGTTACCTTCTCTTATTCAAAATGGCCAGAGACTATTAGAAATGCTTACATGTATGTAATGATTGATGATTGCTGTGTGAAACTTAAATGGTGATCCTTTCTCCACCTTTTAGAGACGGCAATCAAGTACATGACAGATGGGTGTCTCCTGAGGGAGTTCCTCCGAGACAGGGAGCTCAGTCAATACAGTGTCATTGTTCTGGATGAGGCACATGAAAGGAGTTTAGATACAGTAAGATTTCTTTTCTGTTAAATTCCCATACAGATACTCAGACTTGTTTATCTGTAGGCCAACTTTGTATTCTACAGTTCAATGTATATACTTTGTTATCTTCATTATTCATATTTGAAATTCTATGTTTGAAGTCCTAAAATCATGTATATGATTGAAATTAAGGTTATTCAGTATGCATATTTGCAGTGCCTGCTACTAATTAGGTTTAAAATTCTTGACTGTATTGAATATATACTTCCTTGTCATATATAGCATGCTCATTATATAGTTAATGATTTTCTTGAAATTTTAAGTCTATTGAGAAATGGACCCAGTTAAACCACTCACGTTCTCATTCTTCTTACCAGTTCATTGAGACCATGATATATAGTTGTCTGAGAAACTCTTCAATATATATGTTCATTTAAGAAAAAAATCCTCAATGTTAGTAACATTTTTTAAATTGGATATTGATCATTCATAGCCTTCCTATATTTGCATTTTTATTCCATCTGAAAGCCTTTAAAGCCTATCAGCACTAGTTTGGCCAGGAGGGATTAGACTTCCCTGCTTGGTCACTGACAGGTGGTTATCTCATCAAATCAGCTCTCAATTAACATAAGAAAAAGGGGATCGGGGGACAAATGGTCACCACCTAGGCATTGTTAGCTACATAGAGGGCGCAAGTAGCTACAAGTAGTGCAGTGGGGCTTTAATACATTCTGTTGTCATGCTAAAAATTTGATCTGTAATTTATCAATCATTTTTTGTTATCACCTTTGTACCGTGCATGCAGGACATCTTGTTTGGCCTTGTGAAGCAACTCTTTCTCTCTGATAAGGAACTGAAATCTTCCAAACGGCAACACCGCCTCAAGGTGGTGGTGATGTCAGCCACCCTGGATCAGGGCAAGTTCTCTGACTTCTTGGGCGGTTGTCCCATATTTGAGATCCCCGGAAGGTTGCACCCTGTAAAGGATATATACTGCAGTCTGATCGAGGAGAAGGATATGGGCAAGAACATCACAGTCAACTATGTATCTAAAGTGAGTGACTGATTTGAAATAGGGTGGAGTTGTTGAGGTCATCTCGTGGGGAGGAGTTGGTAATCATAAAACACATTGTATATTGTCTTACTATCAGGAAAAAATGAAAATTGTAAAAAGTATTACGAGTAATAGAATTTATTTTCATCCCTGTATAATATTCCAGAAGAAACATGCAGTAGTACCTTAATTTTTGTCATTCCTAGTTATTGTCATATTTACTCTTACACTACAATTTTGAAATTTGTTATCCAATGTACAAATAAAAAATAAAAATCAATTTAAATCAATTTAAATCAATAAAATTTGAATTGAATTTGTAATGTTCTTAGTATTAGAGCACATTCTTGTGCGAGGGTACATCGTCTTACCTTCCATAGGTCCTGCATTTGTCCTGCTTTATGTCCTATAAGGGTTGGGGTTAGGTTTCTGAAAAATGTGATTGAGGACCAATGGGAAATAGGGCTATGGGCAAGGCTTTTTTTCCCCATTGTAATCTATACTATCACCATTATGTATTTTACACTTTTGTCTACATTGGAAATTATCTGGCAACAAATCTTCATAGGGGAGGCGGGGGGGGGGGGGGGGGGGGGGGGGGGGGGGTGTAACAAAAGCATGATTCTTAAGTTTTATGTAAAGCAAAGCATTAAAAACAAACCTATTGTTCTATTATGTCCATGAAATGCGCTCAGAAAACAAAGAATGAATGAGGTGAAATTGAATTTTATGAAAAAAGAAGTGATCTTTATCCCTGAAACTTTGCCATAGTGTGTTTTAAAGCAGTTTGTTGAATTATTATTTTTGCACAATTCAATCACAGAACATCTGCAAATTGAAATATTCATATCTCAAAGTTGTAAATAATGCATGTGTTGAAGACTGATTTTTTTTAAATTATATGTGACATCGTGAAACTTTGACAGTGTACATGTATAACACTAAATCATCCATGTTTTTGTTGTTTTAACCTATTTTGGATTCAACATTTATTTACGTTTCTAATCACTTACATTTTGATACCCAGGTTGTAGACACAGTGATGGAGATCCACTTGGAACAGAAGCAGGGAGACATTTTGGTCTTTCTTACTGGCCAGGCCGAGATTGAACAGTGCTGCGACAAGCTGTTCCAGAAGTCAGAGCGGGTCGACTATCGTCATGATGTCAGAGACCGTTCTGTCAAGGCCTTGATGGTACTCCCTGTTTATGGATCCATGCCAACTGGTATGTGGCGATGACAATTTTTTATTGTTGTTCACAACCACTTTTTCTAAATTTGCTGTAGTAAATACAAGATTGTCTTGTGACAATTTAAAAACTATATATTTTTGTTTTGGCATGTACAACAATACCATAAATTAATGTTTTTTTCCTGAGTAGCTTCTCTCTTTAATTGGGCACTAAAAATTTATTGTGGATATCATATATTATTAATATATTATTAGACAAAAAGTTACTTGTCAGATTTGTAAACATGAATGTAGAGGTGTCGTGGATCACATGGTTTGCGGTTGGAGTCCTGCCACAATGTCCTTTGGCAAGACGTTAATCTACATTTGCCACTCTCAACCCAGGTGAAATAAATGGGTACCCGGCCAGTGGGAAGAAATTCCTTGACTGGTTTAGCACCTTATAATGACAGCAGGGTAATAAATATGATACCTTGTGTATCAAGCACAGTAGAGTATATTCTTATAGGAGCTGCGCTATATAAATGGACCTATTAAAGCCTGTAAATTAAAGGCGTAAATATTCTAAAAAAAGGCATTGTTGGCTGTATAGAGGGCGCAAGTGCCTATAAGTAGTGCAGTGGGGCTTTAATATCTTTGATAGAAGGTGTGAAAGCCAATTTTCCTAAGTATTCTCCTATTTTATTCTATCTTTAGAATTACAGCAGAGGATATTTGCTCCTGCTGAGGCTGGAGTTAGGAAATGTGTTGTAGCTACCAACATCGCTGGGACATCTCTCACCATCGATGGTATCATGTACGTATTTGATTAAAGGCATCATTTAACAATGTTAATTCTGAGATTCATGGCCCTACGTGTTATCAGTGTCTGTGATATGGTATAATATTGAAGCCCTAACAAAATTGCGCTTCAAAATGATCATAAAGTGCCTCAAAAAAGTAAGAAATCTTTGAGTGACCAGTTCTGCCATACTCATTCTTCCCAATAGACTGTAGTGTTATGAAAACCGTTTGGAAAACAAATTTTTAAATTTTGATTTTCAATCATAAATATCTTGATAATCAGACAGGCGATCGGCTTATAAAAGTCATGGGGTTTCTGTCTTACCTAAAGGTTTATAATTATCATAGCAGTATGAGCTAAATCCAGGATTTTGTTTGAGAATCTGACACAAAGTTACCCAATCCCTTTAATTGATGACGATTGATGATGATGACGTTTTGTTTTGCCATGACTTTTTACAGTTGTACATCCTGGACACATTTTCTTGATTTTTTCAATTATATTTATTTGACATGACTGCTTAGAAAGCAAGTACATGCTTATACAGTAGGCTTGCGGATGCACCATGTGAGAGAGAGGGAGGATTGATCTGCAAGCCTATTGTATATCTACATCACCATGCAAGCTGATACTTACAAGCAACATCTAAGTACATGCTTGTAGATAAGCAGCCAAGAGACCTTTGGCATTAATATCCAATTGACTTGGCTAATTGAGTATTACTGTTAATGCCTTATCAAAGGACACTTACTAGCACATCGACTTCGTTTTGAACACTGGAACTTCTGGTTATAAGACCACTGCTCTACCACTTAGCCATTATGTCTCTTTAAGTCAATCTGTTTATCTGAATCCATTTTCTTTTTTAGATATGTTGTTGACAGTGGTTTTGTGAAGCAGATGTCATATAATCATCGGACAGGACTTGACGCTCTGCAAGTTGTTCCTATTTCAAGGTGAGATTCAAAACCAATGTTTATTTGTGTGATTGTTTGTTTTAGTTTTTGAGTTTTTGAAGCTCAACTTTTGTTTATTATCAAGGAGACATGTAGTTTTAAGTCCTATGTGAGAATTTTTGATAATGAGAATCAATGCTGTACTAAAGGGTGCTAGCCCATCAACTTGGTTCCGAAACCATGATGCACATTTACTATAATGCTTATTGTACAAGGACAGTACTGATTGTCATATTACAGTTATGATAATCAAGAGAAGAATATATGCTCATCATGAGAGATCTACTTCATTGTATTGTATAAAACAATATCAAATTACAAATTTGTTTGAATAACATGTACTACATTATAATTTGTATTCCTATCTCTTACTGGAATTTTAGAAATCTATAATAAAGATCATCTAGTAGGAAAGAGTTACAAGACTCTGAAAAGAAATTTATTTGGGCATTAATGCAGTCACAGTGGTGTCTAGCTGTGTGAACTGAGGCGTACTGTAAAACCATAAACCTTCACATGCATGATATTTTCATGAGGGAGGAGTCCAGATTCACAAAATATAAATGCTATAAAAGTATTTAGTTATACAGTGGATTGAATGCCAGCACAATAATGTATATTGAACAAGCAAATTGACTCATACTAATGCATGCACTCAAATGCTCATCCAAATTTAACTGATTAGATATGGTCAAGAGATTTGATTTAATCAAACCCTCAAATAAATCAACATCTGGCAATAATCGCCATAACAGGTGTCTAATCAGAGATCTGACAGCTTCTTTCTGGTGCTGCAGAAAGTTGTTAAACATGGCACGAACATTTCAGGCCACTGAAAAGGCTGTCGGCTCTAATTCGCAAGACTTTCTGGTTTCATGATATAACCTTTTGTGGTTAAAATTTTATTTATCCTTAGAGCTGAAGCCATACAGAGAGCAGGGAGAGCTGGACGTACCGCACCAGGCAGATGTTACAGAATCTACAGCAAGTAAGATTAAATATTCATGGCAGTTTTGAGTACTGTAGATAAGACACTAAATGTTGGTGTTGTATTGATGGAAAATGAAAAGCTTCGTCAATTATGAAATGTTGATAAAGTTGCCTCAGGTCAAATTTATAGAAAAATGATTTCTTGGTAACGAGACCGAGGAAAGAATGATTCATTATCAATTTGAAAGGTGTCAAGGGACAAATTTAAAACATTTAAAGAGAAAGCAGACATCATAGTTAAGAGCACTTGAAGTTTATTCGGTATGAAGTAGAAAAATATATGTTCATGATTTAAGTTGGTCAAAGATCGCTGCGCTAATCACAGGTCTATCATCCTGCCTCCTCAGATTGAGAATCATGTGTACTGTCTAATAATAAAGACCACAAGACACCACTTGAATTTGAACATTAGATGTTCTGTTTCTAGCGGTAGCTACTGAACTATTACATCGCCTCCTTTAAGCCCCACTGCACTACTTGCGCCCTCTATATAGCAAACAATGCCTAATTGGTACCTGTTGGTCCCCCATAATCCTCTTTTTCTTATGTTAATTGAGAGCTGATTTGATGAGATAACCACCTGTCAGTGACCACGCTGGGAGGTCTAATCCATTCTGGCCAAACTAGTGCAGACAGGCTTTAACATAATACATGTATAATACTTCTACAGAGGTTTCTATGAGAACTGTATGACCGAAGACATGATACCAGAGGTACAGAGAAGCAGTCTGACCAATGTGGTGCTCAACCTCAAGTGTATGGGAATACACAATATTCTCAAGTGAGTAGACATTCCTAATAGTCATTATTTATGCTGATGATGATGAAGATGATGATGATGATGATGATGATGATGATGATGATGATGAAGGTGATGATGAAGATGATGATGATGATGAAGATGATGATGATGATGATGATGAAGGTGATGATGAAGATGATGATGATGATGATGATGATGATGATGGTGGTGGTGATGATGATGATGATGATGATGATGATGATGAAGATGATGATGATGATGATGATGATGATGAAGGTGATGATGAAGATGATGATGATGATGATGATGATGATGATGGTGGTGGTGATGATGATGATGATGATGATGATGATGAAGATGATGATGATGAAGGTGATGATGAAGATGATGATGATGATGAAGATGATGATGATAATGATGATAATGATGATGACGGTGATTATAGTCATGATGATGATGACGATAATAATGATGTTTGTGATAGTGATGATAACGATAGTGGTAATGATAAAAAGTATGCTGATTATATAATTAATGACGATAATGAGGATAAAGGCAAAAATAGTCATTTTTTACTGAATTGCCTTAAAACCAATCAACAAAAAAAGGGGGGGGGAGGAGGATGATAAGGAGGAGGAAAAGGGAAAAGGAGGATATAGGATGGTAATGACAGTAATGATGATGCACATTTATAACAGAACTATAATGCAACAACTGATACACACTTTGTAGTTTGTATCATTACAAGCATAGGTTTGTAGATCGTTTTGAAAAATGATTCTTACAGAAGGTTTGGTGTGATATTTTTCAGGTTCCCCTTTGTAGATCAGCCTGAAGAGAGAATGCTTCTTGAAGCTCTACGCCAACTTCACTATTATGGTGCTATTGACAAGTAAGTTTATACATTTTTCAACAATAAAGTCAACATTGCCTGATGTGGTAAAACTGGTAACATAATATGATATGATGCTATACTCTGAAAGACTGAGCTTACTGAGCTTAATACATATCCTTGCGTTTTATGTCAAATGTGCTAAACTTTTTGTGTATATAGAGAAAAGTTGTATATACAATCAGAAATGCAATATCTTAATTATTTGTTGTCTGTCTATGAATGAACAATATACAGAAAATGTGAATAATATACACATATCGATATGTATTTAGATAACTATCAATGTGTCAACTATAAATAATGTATTGCTCATTACAAAAAAATAAGAACAAATTCTCTTCATTTTGCTTTGGACTTTATGAAAAGAAAACGTAACCAATGTGAGGAATCGGTTAGTGAAGTCCCCTGTCTGTAACTGGCTAGGGCTGTAATGTATTTAGGAATTTATTGAGGAAGATTCGTGTAGCTATACCAAAATTATGCTTGATATATTTGATTTATAGTAATAACATATACATTGAATACTGCAAGTGCATGATATATTGAATGAACAAAATGATGTGTAAATCATAGAATATGTGATGACAATTAACAATACTGTTCCCAGTATAATAATCAGTATTTTCCCTCCTTCTTCTCCTTATTTAACTGTGAATTGTAGAAAAGGGAATATCACCAGTCTTGGTCATCTGTTAGTGGAGTACCCCTTCCTCTGTCTCTGGCTAGGGCTGTGATCTATTCAGGAGCACTAGGTTGTTCTGAAGCCGTGTTGCCTATTGCTTCCATGCTATCTGTGGAGAATGTCTTCATTAGACCTGGTGAGAGAATGTGAGGCATAGATAGGTAGAAATACTAAACGATATAGATATGAATAAGATTTTGGGGGAGAGTTGTAATACACGTAAACAGTATTCTGTTAATCTTGTTATTTTTCTATGGTCTTCCAATCCTCTCTCCCTTTAATCTTGACCGATCCCCCCCCCCCCCCATTCACTCCCGTCTCTCCATCCACATTCTCTGCACCCCACGTCCTCTTTCACTCAGTTGTGTTGTAAATGCAAGAAATTCCAGTATAACTCCTGCAATAATGGGGTCGAATAGTCAAAATCTCCCAATGATCTCTAATCTTGATCCCCACTCATTTATTTCTCTTTTTTTAATTTTCTCATTTTCTCAGTCATTTGTTTCTTGTTTTTAGACTAAGTTATTAATACTCTCTATGTAAATTATTAGGTTTTTTTTTTCTTCTAATTATATGTATACTTAACAGTTTTCAATCATTTGCTTCTTATGTTTTGTATTTTATATTGTATATTATAGTGAAATAAATGAAACTTGAATCTATATCCTTCTTGTGACAAATAAATCTCACAATCATGAAATCTTTACTCTCTCGCTCTGTCAGCATTCTCATTGTACAAAATGGATTTTGTGTAACTTACATAACTAAAGGTGTTATGATTAGATTGTACCATGACTGTAATTGTCTATGATTATGATTATTTCTGTTTTGTAAACTGATTCGTAAACTTTTGCCCAGTGAATTTTTTTTTCTGAAATGCTTAATTTCATTTTTTAATTTCAATTTTCAGGGGGTGATACCGATAAGCAGGCCGAAGCAAACAAAGCACATCAGAAGCTAGCCGATAAGGGAGGAGGCTCTAATGATTTCACTACTCTGTTAGCCATCTTTCAAAAGTGCAGTGAAAGGTATTATAGTATTTCTCTTTCTCTTTACTACTTTTTACAGTCCTAAACAATTACAGAAAATTCCCAAATAAAAATTTAAAAAAAAATGAAAAGTGGAATGGGAATACTAATAGGTTATGAGCTATGCATGCATGTATTTATTTTTCATCATAAATATATTATTTCTTTAGACAATACTACATGAAGCATGCAATATGTTATTACAGTCAAACCTGCTTTAGTGACCACCTGTCTACAACAAGCACATGTTTTGTTTCCCTTGAAAATGGTTTCTCATCGAAACATGTACTAAAGAAACCTGTTTAAAAAGACCACTTTTTGTGTATCCCTTGGGCAGTTGCTGTAGACAGGTTTGACTGTATATATAAGCCTACTGAAAAATGAAGAAAAAAAAAACTTTCTGAGGCATCATCTATATATTTTTTTTCTTTTGTCAGTGACTTTGAGGTTAGTCCTCCTATCTGCTCAAAGTAAAATGGCATTCGTGACTCACCACCTTTTCCTTTTTGTCATGTGACTTGTTGTGTTTTTAACAGTGACTCTCCGTCAAGATGGTGCAAGAAGCATAGCATACATTGGAGAGGGGTCAAGACGGCTATGAGTGTACACAAACAGCTTGAGACCATCCTGGAACAACAGATGAAGGTCAGTGCGGCTCATTTTTGAAGAATGATAAACAGGTTTTGGAGGGTTTTTTTTCATTCAAAATTGCCCATTTTCCCATTATGATATTACACTTATAGAAGTTTGGGTCTATGAGGAATTATTGGGAATATTATGTCCTTTGAGAAGAAAAAAGAAAGAAAATATGCATATTCCACTGAGAAAAGGTTAGAAATTCATAGATTTTCAATGAGTAATTTTTGTGTGAAACGGATAAGAGACTGAGTTCTAAATGTATGCAATCAAATATAACGACTGCGTTGGGAATAGGAAATTCCCATATCATTAATGATCTTAATCTTCACAAAATTATAACACAATTATTTTTATGATTTTTCTGGAACTTTCTTTAATATGTTTCTCTGATAGTCTGTTTCTACCCAAGCCAACTTTTATGCAGGTTTAGTCTTCTTCGATTGCTTACAAATATTTCCTTTTCAATGGCTCAACTACAGTACAATAACATTTTTTCCTATTGTTTTATACAGAATTATTCAGCTTTTGTTAATATGATTATAACATACTCCACTGTCTTTCATCTTCTTTTTTTCTTTTGCAGAATCCTGATTTTCCAGAGGAGCATGACTCTGGTTCGACCAGCGATTGTCTGAGGAGAGCCCTCTGTGCCGGGTTCTTTGGTAAGGTGGCTCGGAAGGCTACGACGGGGCATGGCTATCGCACCATGGAAGGCCATAGCATAGGGGTCTTCCTTCACCCTTCATCTTGTGTAAGTAATGTAGTAGTGGTGGTTATTTTACCTGAATGCTAAGAAAGCATAAATGCTTGTTAGTAAGCAACCAGAGGACCGACGGCTTAAGGTCCTCTCTAAGAGACCTGGTTATGATGTTTAATGCCTTACCAAAGGACAGTAAGGATGCCTGTGAGGATTTCATGGAATGGGTTACGACTAAAAAATGTTCATGTTTTTAAATTTGATTTCAGTGTTGAGACTGAGAGAGAGAGATACTTTCTTCTGGGCGTTGTGTACTATAATCCTAATTATTTATTAATTTGTCGTCATTAAGTGTGAAAACTTTGGAGAAGGTTTTACAAATCTTCCCTTGTAGTCTAGAAGACCACAATTCATCTCTAGAAAAGAGTTTCATCACAAAAAAAATCATCATTGTAATTGTTACAAAAAAATGTATCGTATGTAGTCTTTAAAGTTGTGTCTCATCACAAAGAATCATCGTTGTACTGAATTGTTACAAAAAAAAATGTGTCATATGTAGTCACTTTAAAGGTAAATATATGTCACTTCACAAGCAGAATCACAGAAAATCAAACCACCCAGAATGAATTGGGGTCTTTGGCTGTCTTTACTTTCAAGTTGCTTGGGATAGAAGTAATTTTTCTTGAATTAATCTCTGTATTAGTTGTAAGTGTATCATATGCAGTCATTTTATGTAATAAATGTTTCACCTGCTCATTTGAACAAATATTTAATCACACATTTTTTGCTTTACAAGCAGAATCACTGAAAATCAAACCACCCAGGATGAATTGGGGTCTTTGGTTGTCTTCACTTTCAAGTTGCTTGGGATAGAAGTAATTTATCTTGAATTAATCTCTGTATTATAGTATGCATAAAATTGAGGCATACCTGTATTCATCCAAATTATTAATGTACATGTATGTTTTTATTCTAGTTGTTTGGAAGAGACGAGGAACTGGACTGGGTGATCTACAATGAGGTCATGCTTACATCTAAAGTCTTCATGAGGACAGTCTGCCCGGTATGGAACCATTCTTTTAAAGTGTACAATCACCAAAAAGTATTTGTTTGTATGAGGAGTAGTTCCATGTCACAATACAGTGCATATAAAACAAAATGTAGACCCAACTTTGGTAGTTTTAAAAATACATAATTAATGTGGCCATGAAATCTATTTCATGGCAAAGAGTAACTCTTGTTCACTCTACTGATACCCTAGTATCAACCATAGTCATGCTTGAAGCAGCAAGAAATGTGCTCATGACGCCTCACCCCAAATTGACAATCTTTGTTTCATTTCACTTGAAATATAATATTCTACCTAATAAAAGAAATACAACATTATGTCAATGATGTGGAGAGAGTGGTAATTTTAGGCCCTTATACCAGCTCAATCTATAAAATTCACATGAGTTTGCACAATTAACCATAAAGAATACCTTTGAATTATTGTGTTCTGTGGAGAAAATGTAGATATTGTCATGACACCTATGAATACATACATATACAAAGTATTTTTGAGAAATGGAATATTCATACCAATATAGGTCCTAGTGACCACTTAATTCACAACAATTTGTATAAATTAGCATAGCCAACCATGAAGGAAAGTAGTTTTTAAGGTTTCTGTGGAGAAGTATAAATCCATATGCATTTTTGAGAGTTGAAATCTGAATGCCCCTGTAATTCTATCAAAATGCAAAATATTTGCAGAGATTAGCATTTTTAAAGATGGTAGCCATTTACCAATTTCGTAGCTTCTTCTCTATGTGCCATATCCTGAGACGTTGGCGACCATGGAGTGCCACAACTCTCTGTCCCTATTCTATGAAGTAATTCATTCTCCCCGAGATCAGTTCCACATTCAGAAATCCCAATCCTGTTTTGTTAACAGATTTGAGTACAGCGTGGCTTTTCATTCAAACTCACTTCTTTCATATCTACAGTAGATTGCATACTGATACTATTTATAGAAAAGCCAATCAATCGTGTAGTGAGAGGGCGGGGTAATAAGCGCAAGAGGAATGTAAATTTTGTTAAAGGGATTGGGTATCTTTGCCTCAGATTCTAAACGAAATCCTGGATTTAGCTTATGCTGCAATCATAATTATAAACCTTTGGGTCAGTCAGGAATTCCATGACTTTTATAAGCCGATGCCTGTCAGATTATCACTGGAAATCAAAATTTAAAAAAGCTGTTTTCCAACTGTTTTTATAACACTAAAGTCTATAAGTCTATAAGGAAAATGAGTACCGGTATGGTAAAACCAGTCACTCAAAGATTTTTACTTTTTTGAGGCACTTCATAATCATTTTGAAGCACAATTTTTTTAGGGCTTTAATATTACACCATATCACAGACACTGATAACACGTAGGGCCATGCACCCAGATTTAACATTGTTAAACGATGCCTTTAACAGATTTGACTACAGTGTGTGCTTGGCAATACATTCAAACTCACTTCTTTCATATCTTCAGTAGCTCGCATACTGATACTGTATAAAGAAATCCAATCAATCTTGTAACATTATGCTCTCGAGATGATTTTATTGATGGTCAACTTCTAGTACTTCAATACTGCACAACATCTCTAACTGTTCAGTCCAATTAATTTCACTTTATTCAACTATATGGAATTAAATATATAAAATATTTTATATGAAATAAGATTACTAAATAAATGGTAAAGGTAAAGCCCTTAGGGACTCCATACCGGGCCTTAGAATAAAGAGAATTATAATCATTAAACAAAGTATAGTTACGTTGATCAAGTAAATAACTGTGAAACCATTCCCACACTGCATCCCTTGGTAGGATGAAATGATATTAAAGTATTTTGTGGTCTATAAGGTTGATTGCTTTTGATAAATCTAGAGATATACCAAATGAGTGGTTATAACAGACTGTTAATATTATTCAATAGTGTGTTAATCAAATCAATAAATGCATGTTCACATGAATGTCCTGCCATACTGACAGTTAATTAATATCTTGTTTTTATCCTAAAAAGAAGTGCCTTTGAACCCATGCCCTTCGTAAAAGATATCTCCAGTCAAGTACTCCAACTACTTTATTGCCATATCAGTTCAAAGGCTTTATCCCATTTTACTGATTTCTTTCTGTGACAGGTGAAATATGAATGGATTAAGAACCTTCTGCCCAGACTTCATGAGCTAGATGCGTATGCTTTGAGCGGCTGTCTGGCGCCATCTATTGACAAGACTGAAACCGAAGATTCCGACGACAGGGAGGGGAAGAAAGAAAGCGGGAGTAGCGAGAAGAAAAAGAAGCATAAAGGTAATCCTGTCTTAATTATTTTTGAGCTATGTTCTCAAGGAAGAAAAATATTTCATGTACTGTTTTGACCTCACTGTGTTCATATTGTGAGATTTATATATCTTGCCTATTTCTTCCAATCGCTTGCTCTCTCCCTCTCCCTCCCTCCCTCCAAATCTCTTTCTCTCTTGCTCTTTCTGTTGCTTCCACACTTTTTTGCTCTGTATGTCTCTATCTTATATTCTCATTCTCTGCCTCCCCCCTCTCTCTCTCTCTCTCTCTCTCTCTCTCTCTTTTCTCTCACTCTCTCTTTTTATCCCTCTCTCTCCCTCTCCCTCTCCTCCCCATTCTCTCTCTCTCTCTCTCTCTCTCTTGCTCTTTGCCTCACCCTCTCTGTCTCTCTATGGCTCTTTCTGTTTTCCTTTCTCTTTCAGTCCTCCTGTAACACAATGGCAAGTGTTAATTCCCTTAACATCATGGTGCTATAAGCTTATGCTTTTTTCTCCACCATTCACATTTATCTTATTATTACTGGGGGTAACTTGAGCTATTGACGTCCCTACCCTCTGTATCCAAGCCTGAGGCCTTTAGTAGTTGAGACGTCAATCTCCTTCTTGACAGCAATGTTGATGATTTCAGAGATAGAATATTTGATGATGCGTACAAGTATTTCTATCTCTTCCCTTCTAGCTTATTTCTGTTGATTGCAATGTCAGTTAGTATACTACAAGAACAAAGCTGCCAACGATCCCTGTTTTAGAGGAATAAGTCTTATCTTGTGGCTTTCAAACTAATCTTACCCATCTTACGAACCCTAGATTCCGCTCTTTTTCTTAAGTATCAGATTCACTGTATACCATTCGCCTTGAGGCCGTCCTAATACTTACTTTGAAAGGGTTGGGCAGGTATGCATCAATATTTGATGAGGTGAACGGTATCTCTATCCCCCTATGACGTGTGGATTCATTCCTGTTGATTGTTCTGCTGCTCAGTATACTCCAGCCCAATCGTATCCTGCATTCAATGGCACCGGTACCCAACCACAGTGTGTGTTCCCAAGCGGGGTCACCTCACAATGTCTTATTCAGGATTTCTCAGTAGTTTTCAGTGGATTTGGATATATTTCAGCCAGGGGCAGAAGTCCTCTCCCAATTCAATTGTAGTGATTTAGACTATGCACCTCACATCCTAAAAGCATCATCTTCATCTCTCTGATAATTTACTTTTCATATGCATAATGTCATTGGTATTTATGCATCGTTGTTCTGTAAACATTAATATTATTATTGTTCTTGTCATTATAATCAACTTTGTTGCAATATATTGGTCTCATATTCATTATCATCATCAGTGTTATTATTTACATTTTAAAGGTAAAGGCCAGTAATGGAAACGCCCCAATTTCAAAAAATGAAATGGAAGCTCTTATTACCAATCATGTGAAAGAATGTTTTGACTAATACATGATGATAAAAATTTTGCCTGGAAACTGCCTACTAATTGATATATTTGGTTAATTAATTTATCTATTGGCGTGTAAGAGATAAACACATGTGTCGCGCACGTGTGCATAGTCCCATATACATCTTTCTGTGAACAATGCTTTTAACTTTACAAAGACTGGGCCAAATTTCTTATCATTTTGATGATCCCAGAACCTTGCAGTACACACCAATACTTGTATGCTAGATGATCAACCTTTTCTGATAGATTCCACAACGTTTCTTTCACAACGCAATCGCATGACCATAACTGGTCTTTATCTTTAATCATTATCATTTTTCACTCAGCACCTTTTTTTTTAACAGAATGTTATATTTGAAGTTTTCTGTTATCAGAGTTATCTAAGAATTGATGAACTACATGAGTGCTCATGGACAATAAAATTTATTGCCATTATGTAGATCATGCTTTAACTGTGATATGACCCATTGGCAAATATTTAATTTTCTTTGAGAACAATTGTTGGGGCCCTTCGGGGCCAATCCCGAGTTATCACAGACTTTGTAAGCAACAGATAAATGTGTTTCAGTGCCCCATTTTCACCAAACCCAAGATTAAGATCTGCATCTGTGTTTTTATGTATTCATATTATCATAACCTATTACCAGAAATTTTTTGTAATATATTTCAGAGCAATAACGATATTCATAGATATAATACCAGGACTTCAGCAGACACTCGTGTAATATATGGTCATTCTTCATTTTCAAATAGTATCTTTTTATGCCAAGGACCCACTATTTGGAACAAACTACCCCCTAAACTTAAACAGTGTGCATCTTTAAACAGTTTTAAGCATCATTTAAAACTTCACCTGATACAGCAAATTTGAATTTGACAAACGCAATTTTTATGTGTGTAATTACCATTGTAGTATTGTATTTTCTTTGTCCCCTTTTTGTTTGTTTGTTTGTTTGTTTGTTTTTTTTTGTACATTTTTAGGATCATCTACTTATAAGTTTTTGTAACTTTTTTGATGATCCAACCACTTCGTAATTTCCTTAAGTGTATTTTCCATTTTAGTGGTTTATCTATGTTTGCAAAAAAGTATTGTATTCTTTGCCTTTGTATGTTTTATGAAAGTGGTGAATAAATTCAATTCATCTGATGTGGTTTAATTTGTTCTGATTACAGACCCCTCTGTGGACGAGTCCGCCAAAGTGATCCGCAGGAATAATGACACTTCTGTTTCTGACGCAAGACAGAGGTACTTGGAGAGAAAGAGTGCTAAGCTAAAACCTTGACATGTTTAACCCACACATTTTTGTAACTTTAATTTATTATATTGATAATGTGGAATATTTAGGTAGAGAGGGAGGGGGAATGGGCACTGATTTGGAAAGCTCAAAACAGATTTGTACATTTAAGTATGCATTGACATACATGTATCTACTACTCTAAGCTTGTCAGGTTTTATTGATAGTTGCCTGACATAGCAGTAATCTATGTCTTCACAGGATAGAATTTGGCCATGCAGGACATGACATTTATACAACGCCCTGAATATTATAGGCGTAGAACTTACTTGTACCATCTTGTGTGTATGCATGTGTGTGTGTGTGTGTGTGTATGTTTTTGTGCTTCTTTACTGTGTACAAACATGGTCCAATAAGATATTGATCTTAATATATGTTAATTTGTGGGTGTATAGTCGTTCTTGAAGTAGGCAAGAAGAAAAGCCATCCTTTTCTGAGGATTTTTTTTCTTCTTCTACAATACTCTTCCACAATTAGGCAAAAAAGAGTGAAATGCTCCCAGATTATTTTTCACCTTAGGGCCAGAACTCAACCTTAATCTCTTTCATCCGGAAATAAGTTAAGAGAGATAAGCAAATAGTATGAGCAAGGAGCCTTGTCGGATTGATAAAGACTTTATGTTGAGCTTCATGGCAGATGTTTGTGATTTCTAGCAAGTATGTATTTGTTTACATTATACGCCCAAACAACCTATCTGTATCATGAACTGCAAGTATTCAAAAGAACATAAAGCCATTTCTCTCGAAATGCAGTCAAAAGAATTTTTTTTTAATACATTTTTGCCCCACCACTGGTGTAACAATCCTGGATCTGAAACAGTAATGTGTTATTAACCATTTGTTCATTTTTGTTTTACTTGTTTCTAATACATGTACTGTATATTATCTGTAATAAAGAAAAGAATGATGCCTATAATGCTTTGTTCCTGCCAAAGTAGATTTTATTATTTTTATTTTAACATAATCACAACAATCCATACATAAACATATTTAAACAGAGTAAACAACAACATTCTGAATTTCACTATAAAGAGGCACATGTGCATACAGCCACTCAATAATCTTATGTACAGTTTTAGACAACAGCCCAATTGATCCAAGGTCTGGCCCAGAGACCAACAATTGTAGGATTGGTTCACTGGGGGGGGGGGGGGTTCATTTGTTCATGCAGCTAGCAATTCACGATACCAATAAATTCAGTCTCTCAACCAAGGTCGAACCATTATTAAACAGAGTAAACTTTGGTCCTGGTGGGCCTTTCATAGCTCTTGAGGCACACAGATGGCAAACATAAAATGAGTAAAAAGGTAGAAAGAAAGAAAGAAATGGCAGAGGAAAAAAGTGAGTGTCAGTGAAAAGAATACAATAGAACCCTCTCACCTTCTCATATACTGACTCACAGAGTAAAAAGGTAGACAAATGCCCCCACCCCCTTAGCAATGATGCTAAATGCCCCCTCAATTATGTATGGAAAAAAATGTAATATCTTTGTTTACCTTTCTGTTGGAAATGAAATAAATATGAATATGAATATGAAATATGAATATCTAAATTCAGCTATGCCGGTGGATTGGTGGATCTTTGGTCAAATGGGGTGACCCCACCCCCCCCCCCCCACGCCCAATTCAAACCTCATTTAGCATGATTCAATATACAATTGTTGGTTTAGTAAGTTGTGCTTTACAAGTGAGTGATTATGACAATGGTTGCATTAGAAATACACATATTACTTTCAAATATCAATTAGATACAGTCACTTAATTACCATTTAAATCAAAAAATGTGATTTCTTAATTTAAGGGTAATCTTAAACTCTGGTAATGATACAAAGTAAATATCCAAAGAATCCTATGATACTTAAACTAAATTCATAACTCCTGCCATACAATTTTGGTTGAAATATATAAAATGATGGTCTTGTTTCAGCAAGTATTGTTGTTTTCAGTGAATATGCATACCTGTCAACCTTTCCGAATAATCTGGTATATTCAGGTTTTCTGGATTTTGGGGACCTTTATTTAGAATATTTAGTTTTCAAAATTTCATATTTAAAAAAAAAAAAAATTTAAATATATTTGTTGTTGTGCCAGAGCCAAATTAAACTTGTTTACCATGTGCTGCAATTTGACAGTTCGTGTATTGCGTGTGTTGAATGGCTGCATGATCGAGCAGCGAATTTATAATCGCTTTTGGTACAGATTTACCGCGTATTGAAGGCATACCATGCTAAAAATTCCTATTTCTTATTTTCAAATGTTGGCAGGTATGAATTTGATTTTCAGCATTTTTTTTATTAATTAATGTCACTGCTTTATATTGGTAGTCCAAATAACAACCAATTTAATAGAAAAAAGGATAATAAAAAACTTTCTCTTTATTAAATAGCCAGCTTTTCTTTTCTGCAATTGCATTACCAGAACACAAGATAACCCTTTTTTTCTAGAAAAATAAATATCTACTTGATCTACATAGTTTGCACAGAAGTTGACAGAACGGTAGTTGTATGTTTCTCATTAATTTGCCAACTTGCAATCATTTCTTTTTGGATCATACTAGTTTTTTCTTATCAAAATTCATTGATATTCATTTCCAAATTGATTGATTTTGGCAAGCCATCAGCACCTTTCTCATGTTTTACACCAAAACCTATTTGATTTTATATACTTTTTTATTGGTACATCAAAAAAAAAAGATGGCAAATTTGTTACCATCCTACAGAGTAGTAGTTAAAACTTTTGAAATCATGAACATAGCCTGTTTTAAACCTCACTGTGTCATATATATCTGTATTTACAAGCAGGTACCACAAATATAATTTCATCATTTTTCAAGAGCAATTTGTTATTATTTTTCTTCATACAAACTTAGAAAAATTACAGATAAACCTTACACATTTAATACAAATTTAGGGTTTTTTCACTGTTAATGGCACTGTAAGGTTTTAAACTACATACAATATCCTATTTGATACATGTATTCGTGGTAGCTATAGATACAGTGATATTGTGCACATCTTTACTATACTTAAATGTGCATTGGTGTACAAGCTCTTTTGAAAATACTCAATGGGAACATTATTCACATTTCTCTTTTCAGATTTTCTCTTTTCAGATTATTCCACATTATTTCATTTTAAAGATAAAGTTGAGTTCTAGTCATGCGATTGCACTGTGAAAGAAACAATGTGGAATCGATCAGAAAAGGTTGATCATCTAGCATATAATTATTGGTGTGTACTGCAAGGTTCTGGAATCATCAAAATGATAATAAATTTGGCCCAGTCTTGGTAAAGGTACAAGCATTGTACACAGAAAGATGTATATGAGACAACACAAACATGTGGCATAAAAATCCGGCCCAAGTTTTATGCTAGCTGTTACATGCCATATTTAAAATTTGAAATTTGAAAAGCCATGCTCTTCAGGGAACATTTTGATTCTGATGTTCTTCCACACTTGCATAAATAACAATGATAACGCTCACAAATTATTTTTCACCTCTTCCCAGAACTCAACTTTCTCTTTAACTCATAAATAGCCTTAACTCAATGCAAAAAAAGTGCAGCTACTCGTGGAATTCATACACAGTGTTAACTAATGCAACATTTTAATAGATATATACATTTTGTTTGTGAAGGATGTTTCTTGAGAATATTACAGCTCACATCTAAAATTATTCAGTAAAGGACCTAATCATGCAGCCTACCTTACATACTTAATTTACGGAAAACAAAACAAACCCATTGATTTGCAAGGGGTATGAGTTCACTATACACACAAATACACGCGTACATATATTAAATTTCCTGGTGCAATTTGAAGGTGTACCAAAAAAAAATTATTAATCTAATGGCTAAAGTGTCTGTGTTTTCTGTCCTGCCGAATACATCTGTCTGCTGTTCCATTAAATAAAGTCTTCCTTAAAAATTTCCAAACATTCTTATTTTAGATTTATCAAAATGAAAAGAAAAAAAGTTTATCTGTAAAACCTAAGCTGAAATAATAACTTGCTGTGTATCATCCTTTCCTTCAGAAAGTGGATACACTCGACCATTTCGCTTTACCGCCATATTCATGGAGGTTGACGTGAGTGGGTTGAACCGCTTTGCTTTGCACATCATAAACCGTAAGAACCTAATATAACCGCGGCGGAAATTCTGGTTGGTTGCACCGTAGATCACGCAGTTGACGCTGCTATTCATATGCGCCAACGTGAACGTGAAGAGGTAGATGTTGCGGTTGGCCACCTTCTGTGTATCGAAGAGTATTGTCATCGAGAACGGCAGCCACATGACAAGGTACATGATGACGATGATGAATATGGACCGGGCAAGACGAAGGTCGCTCGCGCTGGCTCCCCGGAGTGCACCGCGGTTAAAACGGTTTTGTGCCGTGTGGGCGGTGCTGAGTTGACGCGCAGCACCGCATTTGGTTGCATGCGTTGGCAACCGCACCGTTAAGCGGCTGTGGTCGACGGTGGATACGCCCGGTGCGATGCTGGCGCTTTCTTGCATGCGACGAATGGCGGCTGACGCTCTGTGGGAGAAGCGGAAGATACCTACGTAGCTGTATGTGATGATAAATAGAGGTAGGACGAACGTCGTCGATGCGAAGAAGAGGGCGTAAGAATGAACAAAAGCCATACCTCCGGTGCAAGACATCACCTAGAGAAGTTGAAAAGACCGACACACATTGCGGTTAAGATGCCGATACGTCACATATAATGGGGAATAATGTTTGTTCTTTTTTGGGGGGGGGGGGGGGGGGGGGGAGGAGAGGAGGACTTTTTTGGAGAAAAATAAACCACTGAAACCTTTTCTTTAGGGAAAACATAGAGGATCTCATAAAATGCATTATCAGAATATCAGATACAAATTCTGAATTGTCGAATATTTGTGTGAAAGTTGAATCTCTGAGTGATGTTTTATGGTTTAATTTATGTCCGCTGGTCAGATTCATTTTCGAAACAGAAATTACTGAAGAAAAATAAGAGCCTTGGAAAAGGGAATTGGTTGAAGGTGCACTGGTCGACATCACAGGGGTATGTATTTTCCCTCGGTATGATGTTCGTGGACGGCAGTTAGATGGAGGATGTGGGAATGGGTCCTATCATCTTCCGTTCATCCCTACCCTTTCTCCGGCTCCCTTTTTACTATTTGATTGAGAGGCAGTGAGTCTCACCTTCCAGTCGAATTCGTGGACGCCCCATCCCAGGATGTTTGGGAGGTCGATAAGGAAGGCGATACCCCATACAATGAGGAGAATGAGGGGAACCGTCCGGCGGTTGAAGATTCGATGGTAGTTATTCCAGTGGCAGATCCAAACGTAACGGTTGAAGGCAATGGTGGCGATGCTCCACAGGGAACAAGAACAACTGAGTAAGAGAGAGAGCGAGAGAAAAATGGGGGTGAGTGAGGATGTGTGGAGGGAGAGAGAGAGAGAGAGAAAGAAGGAAAGGAAACGAGGGGAAGTGGGATAAAGAGGGAGCCTAGATTGAGAGAAAGAGGGTGATTAAGTGAAAGATGGTGAGTTTTTTTTATAAATTGAGATAGATCGAGAGAGAGAGAGGAGAGACAGACAAACAAGAAGCGGGTCGAGATGATGAAATGATTTAGTTTTGTTTATACAGAGAGAGAGAGAGAGAGATAGTAGAATGATAGAGATGCCACGGTGACGCAAATGACAGATGTAAACACTGCTGCCCAAAGCTAAAAATGGATTGCAAAGCCATTTGATTTTAAATCTATACAATTTTGGTTTCCATATATAGAAAACAGGAAGGCAGGTATTCTTTATCCAGGCCATGCCAAAAGCTGCAAATTTTAAACAAAACACACCTTTAATTCAGGCGTACGTGCGTGGAGAATGCTAATGCCGCGGTCAAACCTCTGGACAATTGATCACGATGTATCACGTACGAGGTCTTTAAAGTAAAATTGTTTATTTTGATCTTAGCCAGCTTCCGGGTAGAGAGGTAACTCTGCTCTCGTGAAACTGTTGAAATCCCCAGGCCCACAATAACACTCAGTTGTTGTGCCGGAACCTAAAAAAAATAGGCATGCAGATCGACACCTCCTCGCTTTTACCGTCTTTGGGTCAATTCCAAACGTTTCGGATTGTCAAGAGAATTGCTATTTTGAATAGGATTGAATACTAAAAACATTTAAATAATTAACAACAAATGAATGATACGAGAGGTACGTTTACGACATTGGTTTTCTCATCAACCATACACATTTATGAAATGTTGAATTTATATAAGTTTTTTATGGAATGCCATAAAAGGTAAATTTTGTATTATTCCGTAAAAAAAAAAGCTCAATGTTTCATAAATTTTATGAAAAGGTAAAAGGAAATCGACTGTAGTGAAATTACCTCATATTCGTTTATATATGTACAGGTGTATCATAATTATAATTGATTGTAGATACTTTGTATTAAATGTCTATATATAGTTTTTTTTCAAAATTGAAAACTCTCTGGAAGTGTCATTCCGTAGTCGTTGGAATTAACCCCCTTTGTTAGGGATTACAGGACCAATGTCGTGCTCCGACATTGGCTCAGGGGTTTATTTTATCAGAGATATTTGTTAGGTTTGCAATCGAGTTTTGCGTAAAGTTTAACCCTGTATAAAGTAAGGTTGTTTGGTCGGAGGCCTAAGAGCATGTGTCGTCCAACCGATTCCAGCCCCTTGCCAAGTGAAATTTTTACTCAGTGACTGTGTCAATATATTCACCAGAAAAATAACTATGTTTTAATGACGTCACAATATGAACCAATCCTGCCCAAGCAGACGACATCACATAAAGGATGAACATAATTGCAATGCTATTATTTCTCAAATTATAATAAAAATGTGATGGCATTTCACACCATTCAAAAAGGGATATGAAACCGATTCTGATAACTAAATTCTTTTGTTTGTAAACACCAGATAGGGGTTAATTATTAACGATCAAAGAAAACACTTTCAAACTGAAAAAAACCCAGAATGATAGCATGGACGGCATTGTTCCTTTTTGAAACGCTGAACATTTTGTCTTATTTTGTTTACAAGCAACGGATTCCTTTGTTTATGTATCGCTGCATTTTTCATCAACATAGTACCATGCGCGGGATTTAGGGTGAGGCAATAGATTAAACATTTAGCCTGACGGTAGTGAAGTAAAATAAATAACTGAAGAGAAGATGACAAAACAGGCACTGAAAATATGTGAGATGTCATGGGACATCGTCTGCATTTGCAAATCATGTTCAACATGTGACGTCACACATCTCAGCACCGATTCGGAGAGCTTTCAGGTGCTATGCCGGGGCTGTATTTAAGCATTTGTAATTGATAATAATCATTTATTCGAATGTGTCCAAGCATTAAATTTTGATAACCTTGTCCAATCAAAGTTTCATCTTTGCAATAATGACAATAAAGTTAGTTTTTAAAATCGACGAACCTTCTCTTTAATACGCAATACTTCTCGTAATAAGGGTACTACTAGTCATGTTGGGTGTAAACCCGATGTTTAATGCATCTGCATACAACTGTTAATTTACATACAGATCTTCGTGATAGGCTACATGCATATAGCCATTTGAAAATTAACAGTAGAAGAAGAGGGAGAGGAAAAGAAGAGGGAAAAGAAGATGTTGTGACTTACGTTACGATGCATATGACGGCGACCAGTTCGCACAACCAGTCGTGTTTAAAGAAGAACCCTGCCTCGTTGGTAATGCTTCCGACGACGGAGGCGAGATTGACCACAATGGACACACCCAAGTCAGCTAGAGCCAAGTTGATGATGAACACATTGCCTGAAGTTATGTAAGATATTAAGTTTAAAAAGGGGGTAAAGATTTTCCATCTTCCTTTAAAAAAATATAAATAGAATAACAATATCCATGCACGCGTATAGGTCTTTCAATCGTCTTGGCCATATACACGCATGTCTTGTACAGCCAGACCTGTCTATAAAGGCCAACCAAGGCAAACAGGAAAACTGGCCAGTGGCCACGGAAGACAGGTGGACTTTCTTGGTTCTACACATTCCTGGAGGTAGACAGTATAGCCTATTAGTTAACACTATAGATTGGTTGTCGTTATGGACAGGTTTAAAATGTAGTGTGTTGTTATCAGTCTTCCTAAATCATGTAAATAGTGTGTCTTTCAGGTTCAAGCGCGTAGCCAGGATTTTATTTTAGGGGGGGTAGTGAACACGCGAAGCGTGTGAATCACTTAAAGAGCGCGCGAAGCGCGCTCCCTAGGGTATGGGTGCAGGGAGGAGGGAGTTTCCCCCTCCCGCGCGAAGCGCGGAATCTTTGACAGAAGACGATTCGTTGTACCTTTCTCGACCCATAATCCTTGTCTGAATTCAGTCCCCCCCCCCCCCCCCCCTCCTGCGCGAAGCGCGGAAGCTTTGACGTATTATTAGACAAAGAAAACGATTCGTTGTACCTTTCCCGACTATTAATCCATATCTGTATTCAGTCCCCCTCCCACGCGAAGCGCGGAAGCTTTGATGTTTCATTAATTTATTAGAGAAAGAAGACGATTCGATGTACCATTCTCGACTCTTACTCTGAATTAAGTTTCCTCCCCTCCCGCGCAAAGCGCGGAGACTTTGAAGTTTCATTAAATTATTAGAGAAAGAAGACGACTCAAAATACCGTTATCGACTCTTAATCCTTGTCTGAATTCCGCCCCCCCCCCTCTCGCGCTAAGCTTTGACGTTTCATTTAATTATTAGAGAAAGAAGACGATTGGTTGTACCTTTCTCGACTCTTAATCCTTGTCTGAATTTAGTCCCCTCCCCCCTCCTCCTGCGCGAAGCTTAGACGTATTATTAGACAAAGAAGACGATTCGTTGTACCTTTCCCGACTCTTAATCCTTATCTGAATTCCGCCCCCCCCCCCCCCCCCCCTCTCGCGCTAAGCTTTGACGTTTCATTAAATTATTAGAGAAAGAAGACGATTCGTTGTACCGTTCTCGACTCTATTTCCCTTTTTCTTCCTACGTCCTCTTACTTTTTTTCTTCTCTTTCTCTCTCTTTTTTTTAGCCGGCGTTTTTTTTTTTTTTGGGGGGGGGGGGGGGGGGGGGGGGGCGACCGCCCCCATCGCCCCCTAGCTACGCGCCTGTTTAGGTGATAAATGCCCCCAAAAGAAATAATGATACATACCACATTCTAATTCAAACTATTAATCAGCCGTATGAAGAGTATATTAGCAATTACCTCTCGGTAATGCACGTCAACTTGCGAGACAATTATGGACGGAATATGTACAAACGATCTGCATTTGCCATTTAAGTGTTGAGTAGATGAAAATCGCTGGCTTTTTCGAATTTGCTATCTCTAGTCCTGGCTATTTGAATTTAAATTACAGATTACAGAAATCTGTTAGGTACGGTTGATTGTGCTTCACTTGAAACAATAATGTACAGTATTTGTGTAGATATTTCAAGACAATGCATTGAGTATGTTCAGCATATCACATACGGCCAACACGAAAGTGGAGAGTAATTATAAAGGGGAACACGATCACCTCATCACAATCCTGAAATAGAAAACAATGATTACGACTGAATCTGGTATAAAGCAACACGTTTAAGGAATAAAGATTACCGTATAATCTTCTTCTTCTTTTCTTTTCTACGTCTTCCTTCTTCTCCTTCTTCGAAAGATTTCTTATTAAAAAAAAAACTCCTAAAAGCAGGCTTCTTTGGCGAGAGGATTCTCTGGCGGGGGGGGGGGGGTGGGGCACAAGTCCAAACATTCTTTGTCGTCCGACTTTCTGGCGAACCTTCCTGATTACAAAATTCTCTGACAAACTAAAAAAAACGAATGTTATACAAAAACAAAACTAAAAGGAAGAAAAGAATCGTCAGCCTATGCTTCTTCGTTTCCTCTATTTCACGCTCGTTTTAGTGCCCCCACGCCACTGCGAGGCTAATGTCTCACCAAATCTGTTGGCCGACAATAATTTTCTGAGAAGCAAAACAAGGAATGATCCGAAAAAAAGCAAAAAGTGAGCTCCTCAGATTCATGCAGCTTCTCGGTTTACAGTATTTCGCCGACAGAGGTTCATCAAGATATCTCTTTCAATGAATGAGACAGAAAATGTTAAAGAGGAAAAGGTCATCATTCATCAGGTTTCTAAATTTAGCTCAAAAAATTTGGCACGCTAGAATTACGGATTTGTTACTCATGCGATACTTTTTGTTTAAGATTATTCTTCCATGTACATGGCTTTCAGCCTTATATGCTTTGCTTTCGAATATAGTGTTCGTGGTTTCGGGGGAAATAGAGAACAATGATTACGACAGATTTTAATATAAAGCAACACGTTTAAGGAATAAAGATTTGCATACCGTATAATTTGTTGAAAGAGATTTGCCTCTTTTGCAATATCTTGTTTCACGAGTGCATGTCTATTAAATTACACAGGAAATGACACGCACACACACACAAAAAAGAAGATAATTTTTTACATTTTTTTTTAAAGAAACATTTCTTGGGATCTTTGTTTTCATTGGATATTTCAATTTAATATCCGACTGAATTGTTTTAGTAACTCGTGCAGGCAGAAATTTCGACAAGGAGACTTTCGTGGTCATGTAGGCTTTATATATCTTGAATTAATTTTCCTCTCTCAGTGTCCCGCCCCCGCCCCCTCTATCTCCCACTCTCTTTTCTCTCTTTCTTTATCTCACTCTTTCTTTCTCTCTTTCTCTCTCTCTCTCTCTCTATCTTTTAGGGGGGTCCTATAACCTCCATATTTAACACTTGGTAGTAGATAATGTCAATTCGACAGCATTATCCACACGTTATCTCTTCATAATATAATAAAAATGTAGATAGATGATATCAAATTCTTCATCCCCAGCCAATCGCGACACACAAAAGCAAATTAGGGCCTCGAAATTTAATTTCTTGCTCAAATATGTATCGGCGTGAATATTTTGCATCCCCGCCCCTGAACCTAAAATCTAAATACGTCGCAGGAATTTCATTTTGAAGGAAACAATGAATGACATAGATTTAATTTTTATGAAGTTCAAAAATATATCATTGCAATGAAGAGAAAGACGAGTCTAATAGCATGCCAAACGAAGTATGGAAATGTTTTTATTTCACGAAAAGCGAACACAGGAAACCCATTTCGCCAGGTTATGGTTCTTTTGTTTCATACCGCTCTTTAGCGTCGTCTTGAAGGAATAACCTTCATTTGTCTTTAAATTGATATCGCTCACATCTTCTTCTTTTTTAAAGAAAGAAAATAGATCAAAAACATAGAATTCTTTAAGTGCAGTCGTATACATTTTCACTCAAATATATGAGAAATTTTAAAAGAGAGATCGAATATTGAAAGCTGTTATAAAGGCTTCTTAATTGACCTTGTAATCCATGAAAGTGATAGACTTTTCAAACTGCTCTAAAAGCACATATACATTAGGACCGTAGTTCAGCGTTTTAAAATGGAAAATGTTCTTGTTATTATTCCGTAGTTTGACTCGTAAACGCCCCTTTTTGAGAATAGCCTATAAATAAAGGCCAGCCAACCATTTCCGTTTTTGTTATCCAAAACAGAGAATTGGCATTCCCAAATCCCGGCCCTTCCCCCCCACTCAGTGTTATTTAGGGTACGCATATGCGTGTTCCAACCGACCCCCTCCCCCTTTTCAGCAAAAGTCCGGTGTGTAAAGTCAATACGGCTCGGCCTTTTTCTTTTGTATACGAGCCTTTTTCAGCACCCCCCCCCCCCTTTTCAGCAAAGTCCGGTGTGTAAAGTCAATACGGGTCGACCTTTTTCTTTTGTTACGAAAGGACATTTTGGCAACACGCATGGGGTCCGTCCGTTCTCGGAGTGGGGGGGGGGGGGCCGGGTCCCAAATTAAAAGGGTTATACTATTTCGCAATAGTATGCGCGTACGTTTGGGCCACTAATGTTCATTCACATAATACACGTTACTGGGAGACACAGTTCGTAAGCAAATTCTCGTATTATTCTTACAGGTATGTCTCCAGAAATCCCAGCTTTACGGAGACTACAATCGCCTGTATACTTCAAAAAGCTGGATAATTGGACCATTACAATGCGGTGGTAAATGTGATCATTTGAAATTTCTTTTATGAATAAAGAATCCCGACTTTTAAATGCTAACTAGAAAACGATCCCCTGATATTGGTAGAGTCCAATGATTATTCCTACAAGTAACACAATGAACAAATTACAATGTACTGTTATTCACATGTTACTTAATAAAATATCTGTGTAAATAAATACAATTAACCTATATACACTGTTTTCCTGTTTGTAAAGGTTCCACAATGATTGTATTTATTTATTTGATGCTTATGCTTATTATCATACAGAATGGTTCATTATTTTCACCTTTGCTATGAAGTCATGGCCAGCAACTATCCTTGGGCAAGACATCCACGTTTTCCACTCTCTACCCAGATGTAAATGGCTACCTGTCAAATAATGGGATAGCAATAATTGCAGTGCCCTAAGGAAGAATAGCATTGGTGCTGATGAGGCTACCCGGGATAAGCAAAATTATTATCCAATCAGAAAGTGATATCTAGAAAGATGCCCTTAGGTGTCCTATCAGCGCAAGCTTAGGTACAGGAGGGCGTAACCCCCGTCGATTTGTTAAACAAATAAAGAAAAATAGAAAGAGACATTGGTAAAGTAAGATGAAACGAAGACTATGAGATACTCTCTACAGGCCCTCTCAAGTGTACGTTTGTAAATTGTATCAACTCGTCCGAACCGGAAACGTTTCTGAAGAATCATACATTCTAAACTATT